CATTAATATATATTTCTTAAAATAATTAAATCTTTCCTTAATTTCAATTACGTATAATTTTAATACTCAAAAACTATTAGAATTCATCTCCTCCTATTAAGTAATATTATAATTATAATTCTATTATATATTTCTTAACTTTATCTATCTTACTTTTATTAAACGTAAAAACGATATTATTAATGTAATATAGTATAAAAATACCGTTTTTCTTTATAATATATGGGTTTTCAAAAATCGCTTCAAATCCTATTAATTTAAATACCCCGTTCAATTCTCATTACTATAGTAAAAGAGTTCGTCGGAAACTATACAAAGCCTTAATAAACTTAAGAACCTTCCCTAGTATTTAATACCCTAATAATATATGTATATAAATCTCCTTATCGGAGTAAGTATTTATAAAAGTACTAATTACATCATATTAAATAAATTCAAAATGAAAGCGAATAGCGAGAGTAATAATAATACAATAATTAACTCGTAAAGGTAAACGTATGTATATTAATTTTTATCTTTTTCTACTAATTACCCCTTATAACGAACCTTACTTTTACTTTATTAAATATCCTATTCTTATTGAACTTATAGGTATAAACCTATATATAATTAAAAATTTACTTACGTTTAAAATAGAGGATATTCTTATCTACCTCCATCTACATCTTTATATCTTTATAACTCTTAAAGTAAGCTTCCTCTACTTCTTTAAATTATTAGCTAAATACATAGTTATTAAAATCGTAATACTTTTTAAATACTAAGGGGAGATTACGTTAATATACCTTATTAAAACGATTATATTTTATAATTAACCATTCGACTTCCGCCTTAATAATTATCTTCTCATTTATTTCAGTTATTAATTAAATTAATTTACTAACTTTAAAAGCAACTTCCTATAATTCTTAATAATAAACGTACTAATCGATTACTTAATTAATAAAAGCCGGCAAAAAATACAATTAACGGAATAAATAAAACCGATGGGTATAAACCTATAATATATTTAATAAATATTTTATCGTTAATAAACTATTAAATTAATACCTTCTACAATTAATTACTCTTATTTTAAAAAACTTCTTAATTCTCTTAATAGTCTTCCTAATTTTAATTACAGAAATTTAACAAGAGAGGTTTGATATTACTATCATTAATATTATTTAGTAATATATAGCCTTCAATATAGGATAATTCAAATACCCCCAAAAGTTAACTAGTAGGCTCGTCTAATTTATTAAATAAATCGGCGAACTTCTTACTAATAATTTTAAAATCGTTTTTAAACTTCTTAATATTTAAATAGTAAATAATATCCTCATCGAATATCACATCCCTAGTCTAAACGATCCAATTTATATATGGATTCTATATATAACAGATTAAAATTACTAAGTAACTAATAAAATAACCGATCTATACCTTTAAGTTATATTTTTAAACTCTTTATTCTTTCCTTTAAGTAACATATATTATAATAAATACTTTATACTCATAAACTCGAAGGTAATTCAAATTTAATCTACGTAATTCTTATTAACTATATTAATTCGCAATATAGGTATAGAATCGTTCGAAAGGAGATTTCTAATTATATAATAACAAAAGCAATAATTAATAAAATAAATAACCGCACAAATAATCTCTAACTATAAATCTTTTAATATTTTTGAACTTAATAATATTACATAATATTTCTCTTTAATTATAGCCCTTAAACGTTCTACCCCTCTATTTTATATTTAAATATTAGAAATAAAAAATTTGAAAACTATATTATACCAGGCGAATTTATCTTTAATTTTATTATTTATAAATTTATTATTATATTCAACAATCGTAATATTAATATTATATCAGTATTTAAATATCTAAATATAGCTAACTAAAGTATTAGCTATCGTAATAATTTCTCAATTCGATAAGTAGTAATCCCAAATTAATTTTAACTATTAATAAATAATTAGAAAGAGGTAGCGTAATCCTCTAAATTTTAATTTAAAATCGAGGAAATCGACGGCGAATCTTTCTCTTAGGCCGTAACCTCAATCTTTCAAAACGCAACTAACTTATCATTTTATCTTTACTATTCTACATACATTATATTTAATTAAAAGTATACCGCGTAATCGTACTCCGTTAACATTTCATAAATAATTAAATACCTAAGGATTTAAATAGCCGAACTGCTAATACTATACTTCCGCTAATTATTTCGAAAATTATCATATATATAAATTAATTTAATAACGGCGCACTATAAACGAAATTCTAATAAATAAAAGAAAGATAATTATAATAATCGTTTAATTATAAATAATATTTAAATAATAAAAGAATAAACCGTTAGCCTTTTTTAAATAATTATTTAATAGTCGATAGTCCTAATAAAAGCCCTATCTTCGTAATTAAAAATAGGAAACGAAATTAATAGTAAAATTAAAATAAATGGCGACCTCCTTTAATCGTAACTTTAAAAGACCGTTTTTACCCCTAATAACGATATCGACCTCCCTAAACCCTTTAATCTCTACTTAAATATTACTAACCTATAAAGAATTATCCGGATTAATATAACGAAAATAAAGGAAACGAATAATTTTATTAAATACGTAAAGCGAACTATTAGAATCAAATATTACTAAATTTTTAAGAAAGTAAATTTTAATTCCAATTTTAAATACTTTATTATTTTAGAAAGTTACTTTATAAATCCGATTTAATAATTATACTAATTCTTCTTTTTCGACCTTCTCCTCCTTTTCAAAGAATTTAATTATTTCTTTAATAAGCTTTAAATCTCTTACGAAATTAATTTTAACAACGTATTTAATAAAAGCGTATAACTTAATATATAAAAGCTTTATATTTAAATTAATATACTAATAATTTTTAAGAGAATAATAATTTCTCTCGTATATTTTATATATTATATTATTACCCCTCTTACGTAGTTAAATCTTAGATTTATCTGATAGGAACTTTCTCTTCCTAATATTAAAGCCTTTAATTTCTTATTTTTACCGTCGTAACGAACGTCTTTATTTCTAATATTATAGCCTTCGCTATTATATTTCTAAGTATTGTATTCAATACCAATCTCGCTAGCGCTAAAAATACTATAATAAATTCCTTCTTTTCCGGTAATAACCCTATAACGAACGCTATTAATACTATATTATTTAAAATTCTTATAAACTTCTTTATACTTAAGGGTATTAGCAGCCATCTCTTAATCGAATTTCTAAGCGCTATTATACTACCCCGGGCGAATAATCCTAATTATATTAATAGAATTAAAATACTATAAATTCGCAACGAAAATCTTACCGACTCCTTTACTCTATTCGTTACTTATAGTAGTAAACTAAGTCTATAACTAATTAATCTAATTCTTAAGTTCCTTCGTAAGAACAGTAATAGCTTTATAATATATTTTTCTTATTTTAATTTAATCGTCAACCGCTTTATAGTTTATTATTTACTTAAGGTTTCAATATTACTCGTTGGTATCCTATTCCTCCCTTATAATTCTATCCTATAATCCGTAATTAATTAATAATTCTATTTAAATACGTATAATTTTATTACTAACTATAAACTCCTTCTAATCTTTTTTTATTATTGGGATAGACTAACCTCTAATTTATGAAATTATTTATTAATAAGGTCGTCTTAATAACGAAGGTATCGATTACAATTTCGTTTCGGTCGTAATATTTAATAAGTTCTTTATAATTAATTCCGTCTTTATAAATAACGAATTAAGTATTAATACCGCCGTCGAAACGTACAAACTCCGCCTCTATATTACTAATACGGATTTTTACTTCCTTAATTAAGGGTTAATAACTAGGATAAAGCTATCTTAGTATACAAAGCTTCTTAGTCTTTCCCTAAAGCCAATTCTTAAGGGCATTAGGAATATATTTCGATTAGAGTATAGGCTCCTATCGCAACTAATCGTCGCCGTCTTTAAAGTAAACAACGTTTTCTTTCATCTCAGTAGGCTTTAAGAGGGATATCGTAATCTAATTATTATATACTATTCAAACGTACTAATTGTTATATTAATAGATTACATATCAGACTATTAATTATTAAATTTACTAGTGATTGATTGATTCTATATGTTCTATATAACTAACTCGAGCGCTCTAGTATGGAGGGTTCTGGGGGTAACCCATATTTGCCAAGTCCTATTAAATCAGGTGGCTGGGACTCTGGCATCTAGCCCACATCTGGCCAGAATGCCACCCTAGAATCTGACAGCTGCAACTGCGTTGCCCTTTCCCTTCTGGGCATCAACAGCGGATGTGATTCGCTGAGGTGACCATGGCTCACCTGTAATGGAAAGCGCACTGGCCAAGCCCCCATATCTGGCTAACTAAGCGGCCTGAAAGCCCACCAGCCGATCGCTCTGCTTTGGGAAGCAAGGGTTCGACAGATCGAGACTCGATGCGCATCAGAACAATGTCAGTGAGATCAGAGATCCTCGAAGCCGCCCTGTCATACCGGGCCCAATTGATCGCAGGGTATTGAGCGCATCGATCGCGAACTTCTTTCGTCTCGTCTCGTCCAGCCTGTGTCAGGCACGGGCGCAAGCACACTCACAGGCGTTAGGCACGCAAGGATGCGCGTTTCCAGAATCTCGGAATCGGTTTCATCCCTTTCATCCTGGATCGGACTTGTGCTCCGCGACTTACGTAGGACCAGATCTACGTGTAGCAGAAGATGAGCCGCTGATGACACATTTGGGGACGCCTTTGATCTTTTCATCGCGGTGCATAATATCGGCCGGTTGCCCTCATCCCGTGTTCTTCGTCGTTTCATCCCCTCTCAACAGAGTTGTCGTCAGGTCGTCGTCCATCATGGATGCAAATATGTTCAAGCTCGAGGTCATCCATCGACTTACGTTCGGCTTTCGTTCGTCATGTTTTCATTTGCACCCACCGAACAATAACAACAACCCCACGATAACACAGCAGCAGCGGCTTTTCCCACTCAATATTTCACATACACAACATCCTAGTACGATACTCTCATCATATACACTGACTGACAGACAACAAAGTAAGTAAACAGGTATATGTACAACAATGTTGTTCGAGAAACAACCTAATTCCGCCCTACCCAGCCCCCCAACAGACGGCCGGCCTTCAGACAAGATTAGCTTCCCAATCAATCCACAGGACAAGTAAAGTAAAGTGACAGAATTATTATAGATGTGTAGAAACCCCCACTCAACCACCTTGACAGTCGATTACACCCATCCCTTCGTTCCCCGCACCAACCATTTTTCATCCCTCAGATACCTCATAACTCAGATAAACCCCTTCGTCAGACTCGGCGCCCTAGTAATGCTGCTCTTCCTCTTCGGAATCTCAATCACCCCATCCATATTATCATTCGTAAACGTCCTCTTGCCCCTGATGCTTCCATACACGCTTCCCGCCACGCTGCTGCCCGCGCCGCCGCCGCCGCCGCCCATAGCGGAGCCCTTCTCCATCCTCAGGTTCTTCCACCCTTCGAGTTCGCGCTCCAGCCTCAGTGCCTTTTCTTTTTCCTCGCGCAGCTCGCGCTCGGCGCGGCGGGCCGACAGCTCGTTGGCGGATTCCGACGATTGCAGCTCGTCGATGGTCTTGAGCAGCTTGTCGACCTTGTCGCGCATGCGCCCCACGTCTTCTTGGAGTTGCGTGTTCTGCTTGTCCTTGCGGTCGATCTGGGACTGCAGGTCTTTAACGATGCGGTCGACGTTGCGGACGGAACGCTGGGATTTGCTGCGCTCGGTTTCTTGCTCTTCGAGCTGGGATTCAAGCTGGCGAGACGGGTTAGCTCTTGATCTCTTGAAAGTGATAACTTCGAATAACTTACCTCCTTGATCCGGCTGTGCAGGAACTTAATATCATGGCTGGCAGTCGAATATCCCTTGGTTTCTAGGTCGATGAGCTTCATCTGTAGCTCGTTGAAATTCTTCTCGAGAGTGACCTTTTGCTTCTGCAGATCGGCATTGTTCTCGCGCTCAGCAGCGATGTCCTTCTGAACCTCAGCAGCAAGCGCCTCGGCGCGCCGCATCTTCTCCACGGCAGCCGCAGCGATGTCTTCCTGTTGAGCAAGGCTGGACTTGAGCTCCAAGATCTCCCTGTCCATATGCGCCGCGTTGCGCAGCGACGGGCTCTCGCTGTTGGCCAGCTCATCAAGACCAGCCTTGGCCTCTTCAAGCCGTGCCTCGATGCTCCTCTTCTCGCGGAACAGGGCATCGCGCTCAGCCGTGATCTCGTCAAGAGACGAGCGGAGCGACCGCACCTGGCCAAGGAGCGTGACGATCTTGCTTTGGGCCTCATTGTGGGCACTGACGGCTTCGTCGCGAGAGGCCACCACATCCGAGAGAGTCGCCTCCAGCCGCGCCTTCTCCTTAGACCAGGTCGAGCTGTTGAGCACCTCGTCATCCCACTTGGACCGAAGCTCGTCCAGCTCCTCCCGGAGTCTCGTAATCTCCGACTGCTTGCGTAGCTTCTCCTCGCGGGCCCGATCGAGCTCGTTAGCCAGTGTCGCAAACTCAGCCTGGTACTTCTTGCGCATCTGCTCCATGCTCGATTCCTTATCCTCAATGTCATTAGCACGCTGGTTGCGGTAATCTTCGAGCTCGTGCTGAAGCCTCTTCTTGGCCTGAGTAACGGCGGCAAGGTCCGTCGACATGTCTTCGATCTTCTCCTCCAGCCTTTGGTTCGAGTGTTGCAGATCTTCGATCATCGCATCCAGACGCTTCCTCTCCGACATCATCTCTGCGCAGCTATCCTCCGCTTCCTTGGCTTGCGCTCTAGCGAACGTCTCTGCCCGGTTGGCCTTGAGAACGGCAATCTCCGCCTGTTCAAGCTTGCTGAAGTACTCATCCGCCCGACCTTTATAGAGGTTGAGGCTTGCTGTTACGTCAGCCAGCTTGGATGTCTCAGCATCCAGGCGAATCTGGAGGTCCGCAAACTCTTGGAGTAACTGGCTCCGGCTTGCGGCCTCCTGATCCCTGGCGAGTGACATCTCCTGGAGATCCGATCTGGCGTCACGAAGATCAACTTCAAGCTTGGCACGCTCGTGTCGTACCTTGTCATAGTGCTCCTTGAGTTCCGTCAGCTCCGCAACCGCATCCTTGTGGCTGTGCAAGAGTGATCGTCGCGAGTCCTCCTGGCTATTAAGCAAGTCGAGGATCTCTTCATGAGACCTGGTCTGGATGTCACGAAGCGACAGCTCACCGGTGCGAAGAGCCTTCTCCAAAGCCGACACTTTCTTGGTGGAATCATCAAGCAGTTCATGAAGTCGGTTATTGGCCTTTTCAAGCTTCTGCACCCGCCGAAGCTGTGGGCTTTCGTCGAGGTACGGGTCCTCCTCGCCCGACGCGGTGCGCTCCAGCTGGCTTTGAAGATGACGGTTTTGCATCTGTGCAAGCTGAAGCTGATTCTGCAGCTCTTCAATCTCAGCCTTGAGATCCATGCGAGTATTGAAGCTGACGATATCGGCCGTGCGGTCCGAACGGACAGAATCATTGAGGTTCTCGGACTCGCTATTCGTAAAACGACGTTCACGAGGAGGAGGAGTGGACGCATTGGAGTAGTGCCGTCCGTTTGTCTTGCGCTTCTGCGTCGGTGATCCGGTGAAAGGCGCCTCGTTAGGACTGATTTCCTCGAGCCGCAGCCTGGTCGGAGAGTCATTCCTGCTGGTCCTCAGTTCCGCTAGCTGGGCTTCGGCATTGGCGCGTGCAGTAGTTTGGACACGAAGGTTCTGCTGCATGTCCTCAATCTTCCGGACAAGATCAAAGTTCTTGCTGAGGAACCTTTCACTGGCACTTGCACCTTCGGTTTGGACATGAGTGTCATCTGTGTCGGGATCGACTGTCTTCAGCGCGTTCAGGAGTTGAGCCCGAAGCTCAATCAGCTCCTTGTCACGCGCATCCAAAGTTGACTGCAGAGTGCGGACTGTACCTTGTGCTTGGGTACGCAACTGCCGCTCAGACTCAATGGTCCTGTTCGCCTCTGCCAATTGAACTGTAACGTTCGACGATAGCTTTTCGGCATTGCGGCTGGTTTGTGTTTCCCTAGCAAGTTCGTGGTTCAGGTCTTCGATCGTGAGTTGCAATTTCTCCACCTTCTTTTCCAGTCCGGCGACAGTGACCTGAGAATCTCCCAGTTGCTTGTTGAGTTTGGTATTTTGTTCCTCCACTCTGGTCTTCTCGCGCTGTACCTGGACAAGTTGAGCTCGAGATGCTTCACCGGCCCTTGACGCCGACCGTGCAATTTCGAGGCCCTTTTGTTGCAGCTTGTTTAGTAAGGCACGATTGTCGTTTTCGGAAGCGGCCAATCGGCTCCTCACGGTGTTGAGTTCTCGCTCGAGTCGTTCCTTTGCCTGATCGTTTTTGAGACCAAACTCGCCCGACTCGATAATCACCTTGTTGAGGTCCTCAACTTGGTAATTCAACTTGGCGCATTCGGACTCGTACCACTTAAGCTTGTCGTTTGCCGCGTCGAGGTCTTTGAGCAGACTCTCTTCACGTTCCCGCGCGATCTTGGTTGCTGCTCGCTCTCCAAGCACTTCGGCCTCACGTCGTGCTTCTTCGGCCTGGGTCATGGCACTACGAAGACGACGGATCTCCTCGCGGGCATCATCACGCTCCTGCTCAAGCGTTGCACGAGTCTCAACCGCGCGCCGGAGCGTATCCTGCTGGGCATAGAGCTCTTTCTCGATTGTGATCTTGGACTCATTGAGGTGATTGTACTCGTCCTTGAGGGTTTGATACTTGTGTTCACCAAGCAACTGGACATCATCACGAGACTGACGCTCCCTGCTAAGTTCCATCTGAGCGTTATACAACTCATCCTTGAGATCCTTGATCTGTGCCTCGAGCACTTGGCGATTTTGGTCTGCCTGGGCGTCTTCCGAGAGACGAGCTTGGAGAAGCTTGTTGGCATCCTCGGCCTCCCTCATTAGCTGAGATTGTTGCGACTTCATGGCAGTCAATTCAGCCTGAACTTCCCGGAGTCTTTCAGCGGCCTTTTCCCTTTCGGAAGCAAGCATCTTTGTTTGATCATCAATGCTCCGCCTCTCCATTGCCAACTGCTTGTTTTCCGAACGGAGAATTGCAAGCTCGCTTTCTTTCTTGCGAATCAGATCCTCATAACTGGTTGACGTCTTCGAGAGTTGCGTAAGCTGTTGCTGGAACTGGGTGTTTTCGGTGGTCAGCTGTTGATTTTTGCTCTTGGCAATCTGAAGCTCTTTCTCGGTTGTCAGAAGCTTGACGTCGCTATCCTGGTCGATTTTAAGCAGCTTGCTTTCCAGGTCCTTAACCTTGCGATCCTTCAGGGAGAGTTGACTCTGTAGCATCTTAAGCTCGTTTTCCAGTGCCGTTTCCTGTTCGCTGCGCTCAGACTGCTTCTGCGAGATTTCAACGATTTGACGTTCCAAATCCGCAACCCGGTTTGCGAGTTCAGATTTCTCCTCTTCCAACCGTCCGATGATGGTAGCGGCTTGTTCGAGCTGTGTCCGGTACTTCTCTACGTCGACTTCAGCGCGCTTCTTAGCTTCAAGGAGACCGTCCATTTGCTCCTCCATGCGCTCTTGGTCGTCTAAAGCGCCCGCCAGTTTGTCTTCAAGTTCGGCTTCACGTAGCTGCAGTCTCTTGAAGATCTCCTCTTTGTCAAGCGCCAAAGCACGCTCGCTCTCGAGGGTCTGTTGGATTCGAAGCATCTCGGTGTGAACATTGCGACGCTCCTCTTCCAACCTCTGTCGATCCATGGCTTCCTGCTTCATCCGGTCACTAAGCTGACGAATCATTTCATCCCTCTTTTTGACCTCTGTTGCAGTTCTTGTGGCACCGAGAAGAGGCTTCATGCGGACCATGAGCTGCCACCATGGGTTCTCGCTCAGCTCTAGGTAGATTTGGAAGTTTCTCTGTATGACCCTGGTTGCCTCGGCCCTATAAAGGCGCTTGTAGGCAATCCTCCTCTTAATGTAGCCACGCGCCAGAGACTGAAACTTGGCCATGATCTCGGTGATTATGGCATCGCGCTTCTCTTCCAATTCGGCAAGCACACCCGCGCGGAAAAAGACCTTGGTTAAGCCGACACGGTACAGTGACTTGTCGAGACCGAACCTGTCGAGCATAATCCTTGCGGCTGCCTGACCCTCGACATACCCCTTTGGCATGTTCGGGCAAAGAACTTCATAACGCTGTCTGAACTCGGCAAACGGTAATCTGTTGGGGAAACCAGTTCGAGCAATACGAATACCCTCCAACACACCATTGCAACGGAGCTGGTCCAGAACGAGAAGGCTCTGGAACTGCTTTGGCTTCTTTTTGTGATTGGGAATAATGCAACGCACAAAGTGCGGATGGGTAGAGTATAGCTGCGTCATCAAACTCGACAACTGCTCCTTGTGCCTCTGCGCAACAGTTCGGAAGAGCCCCTTCTTCACGCGGCTACGCATGGCTCCAGCTTCGTCATCTTGATCAGCACAATCTGCGAACAGGTTGGCCATGTACTTGTCGGTGGAAGCGGCTAGAAGACGCGTGATGTTGTCGTTGAGTGGATCCTTGTTCTTTTCCAGCCATCCTTCTGTCGAGTACTCGACCTCGGCAGCATAATGGGTCAAGATGAAGCCTTGGCCTAGTCTAGAAGGGCGATACTTTTGCGACTTTTTATCCCACAAGGAGTTCAGCTTCTCCGTAAAAGTCTTGTCGGTAGCCTTGGGCATCACACAGTCCTCATCCAGGCAAGAGAAGATACCGATCGGATTTGGCAGCTCGATCAAGTCAATGGTAGGCTGCAGGTCTCTTCCGAAATCGATGAACTTCCACTCGATTTGTTCCCTGGCATATTCTTCCTGTTCGAGGACGAACATGTGGTGGTTGAAGAATTGCTGAAGCTTTTCGTTGGTGTAGTTGATGCAGAGCTGTTCAAAGCTGTTGGTCTCAAAGATCTCGAAACCAGCAATATCAAGAACACCGATGAAGCGGGTATCGTCAAGACCCATGCTAGTTCTATCGAGCTGGCGGTTGATTCTCGCTACAAGGTCACCAAAACCTCGCTCGTAGATACCCTTGGCAAGAGCGTCTATGGCCAAGCGCACCTGCTCTGGAGTTTGCACCTTTTCGACCCATTCCCGACCTGCCTTTACCCTGGGATGCAGCAAACCTTGGAGGAAGGGTTCCAAAGGTACACCGAGAAGCTTGCAAGCCCTTCCGGCAATGGCCTTGGCATCAGGGTTAAGCCGCGCTTGGTCGGCTGACCTGCTCTCCTTGACCACGGTGATATTGCCCAGGTGGAGGACGGCTGCAATGGTTCGGAGGATTGCGACCTGCTCTTCGTCGGAGAAGCCCATCACCAGGAAGGCTTCAATGAGCGAGTCCCATTCCTCCTTATCAGATACGCCCGTGATGGTGTCATGGCCATCCCGTGTGTAAGTGAAATCCTTGACATCCATGTTATCCAGCAGAAGCTCTTGCTTGAGCTTCCGATCTGCGCCCTTAAGCAGCTGGTAGAAGATGTGGTAGTTACGCTCGTTGGCATTGACATGGACCACTCGAGATTTCTCAAGGAGATACCAGTCTATGAAGGCACCCGCGATGGAGCCATTGCTTGAGAATTCGATTCGGATAAATTTACCGAATCTCGAGGAGTTGTTATTTCGCACTGTCTGGGCGTTACCAAAGGCTTCAAGAATCGGGTTGGCCCTGAGGATTTGCGCCGACAGATTCGAATGCTGAGAACCTCTAGTCCTGCCCGAAGGGTCTGGGTGCGCCACAGCGGCTAGGTATTGGATGACCTTTTTGGTGTTTTCCGTCTTGCCGGCACCTGACTCTCCGGTGACCAAGATACTCTGGTTTTCGTGCTCATCAACAAGATTGCGGAAAGCTTCGTCGGCCATGGCGAAGATATGGGGCTTGTTATCCTCCCTATTTCTACCCTTGTACATGTTAATGTACTCGTTGGTATAGATGGAGAGAGGACAATATGGGTTGACAGCGACCAAGAACAGCCCGGAGTACGTGTATATGAGGTCGGATTGGTATCTCGTATGCAGATTGTGGACGACTGAGGCCTCGTTCAGATGGGTCAGTTCGGCCATGTCATTAGCCTTGTCGAACTTGGCCGGGTTGACTTTGTCGACCGTTTCGGCATCCACCTCTCGTTGCTAGCAGGCGGGTTAGTCTTCTTTCAACAGCAATGACAGAGGGGCTCTGCTTACGCTTCCATCATCGCACTGGACCAACAACTTGTTCTCTGGGAGCTCTTCGACAACCCATCCCTTGACAAAGGCTGCCTGGGGATCCTTAAGCCAGACATATTTTTTGCCGGAGAAGTCCTCGCCTTCGATTCCCTTGACCATGTCGGCATGTTTTCTCATGTCCTCCGTCTTGATGAAGGACGGCGCAAACGTAGTCGAGCCGGGCAAGGAGCTCTTTTGCCCTGGGCGTATCGGTATCGGCTGAACGAGTGTGGGCTGGCTCGAAGCATGGGAAAGACTGCGAATGTGGGTTGGCGGTGTAGGAGGAGCAGCACCAGCAGCTGGACCGGCCGAAGGCATCACGGGCGCCGCTGGGTTCGTGAAGATGGCGGATCTTGGCCTGCCCAAGCCAGGGGCATTCGGTCCCTGCTGTGGCGGGGCGTTGTTCCTCGCGAAGGGATTATTGCGTACCGACATGGTGTAGTAGCTGCCCTGGGTACTAGGTTAAGATTAGGTAGGGCTGAAGAGAAATCATGGAAATGCTACGCATTAAGCGTGCTCGGGCTAGCGATTCTGGCGACGATGATGTTCTGGTGCTCCAAGTGGTGTCGGTGGACTGCGCAGATATGTAAACAACCGAAAGATGCGAGGGATGCGATACTGAAAGGCTGCACGGCGCTGGCCAAGCTAAGACTGTAGCTGAACGCGACAAATATTGGATGTAGTATTAGACAAGGCGATAGCTGGAGCAATAAGACGCCCAAAAGAGACAAGAATTGTATGTGTTGATTCCAAGAACCAATGTCCCAGACATTGGCTTCTCGGTGTTGAGAAAGTTGACGGGGGAGAGAGGCTTGGAGAGAGGCAACTTCCAGGAAGGCGGTCGACGACGATGGGGGAGCTACCGCTGCAACAACTGGGAAGGGAAGCAGGGGCACCGCTGGCCGATGGCCGTCGTGGTTGGCGATTGGCGGCCTTGGTTGGCGGTGGTTGCCCTGGCAGGCCTGGGGAGAGCGCACGGCGTGTCAAGTAAACAATGGATTTGGCGCCAGGGCAGCAACGGGATTGGACCCCTCAGCTCCTCCCGTCCCCGCCGTCGCTCTTTCGTCCCACCAGAGGAGCAGAGCTCTGTACCTCTAGGGAGCACGAGCCGCTCAATCGCTGACCGCCCTCGAGAGTCGCGAGCTGATGTCACACCAAATGGCCCGTGCTCTCTTATCGTCCATATCTGGTTAGCGGGTCTTTTGCAGTAAAAGCGGCACCGCCAGTCGTCGTCCCGCCCACGGGCCTCCAAATTCTCGAATCCGACTGAACCAAAGCGTGGCCATCCCACATGCACTTTGAACTCCGTCTTCAATCTTTCCCGCTGCAACCCAAACTCTGGACTTTTGGATCCACGTCCACACTTTTCCAGACAAGGAAACGACCTCCATCAGCCCAAATAACCCGCGCGCCTTCATCCTCGTGAAGCTCGCGCCTGTTATTTGATTGATTGCCTGTCTCCTTGGGACAGCAGAGAGTTAAACCAGAGCTGCAGCGCGAACGGGATTGTGGTCCGTCGTCGAACTAACCTTGTAGGGTACGGTACTGATAGATATCTTCATTCATCCCTTATACGCGCCGCACGACGGGAATCCCTACGCTCGCGTTCATCTGATCTCTCTAAGTCACCGCTTGACCGATCATACAAAAGACGCGACTTGCCAATCGCCTCTTGCGACTATCGACCAAGAAGTGGAAGAAGGAGGCGAAGCCCTTATTGTTGGCTGGGCCTTCTCTTCCGCGAACAAGGAGCTATCGTGAGTTGGACGGTCGCAGTGGCCAACAACCACAAAGGAGGAAAAAGCCTTCCTTCCCCCGCGCCCCAACAGCAATCTTGTGTCGACGTTGAGAAATGCGGCTCGATTGCTAGCGCAATCCCAGACAAAGTCCACATACCTGCCTCCAGGCATCTTCCGTCGTCATGTCTCAATACCCTCCCTACCCGGGACCATACAACGGCTACGGCCAGTATCAAGGCCAACCACCTCCCCAGCCGCCTCCCCAACCGCCATACGGATATCAGCATCCCCCGAACTTTTCAGTCCCTCCTCCTAGCACAGCTCCTCCTCCGTACAACGCCGCACCATTGTACCAACTCCCGGGGCAGCCTGGATTCGGTATGGATACCAATCGCAACATTTCGCAAGGCGCGTTTGACTACAACTCGATGCAAATCCCGGGTCTTGGGATTGGTGGCCCGCCTGCCACGAGCACGCCCTTTGGCGTCCCACCTATTCCCAGTCCTTGGGGTCACCCACCGCCGTCTTTCCAAAACCATCAGCCGCCGCCCATGATGCCTCAGCAACCGGCGCAGCCCCCTGCGCCTCGTGCCTTTGGCCGATACTCTGGTCCAAGCCAACCTGCTGCTGCTGGACCTTCATCGAACGGCCCTGTGAACCGCCCCGCCAATCTCCCGCCAAAGCTTCCCCCCAAACCGCCTGCTCGCGTCACGAAGGAGATCGAGATAGAAGAAGGGGAGTTGAGTGAGGGTCAGTTCGAGGACCTGTATGAGCCCGCCCCCGCCCCTCCCATCACTGTCAACACCAACGTAAAGAAAGCTCCGAAGCCCGCTCCGGCTCCTGTCGAGAGCCAGCCCACGAGCGCAGTCGATACTCCGGATGCGAACTTCTACGGAAATGATGAAGACGAGGGAGAAGTAACGGCAAAGGATGGACAAGGTGCTGTGCCTGGTTCGGCGCGTGAACGATCCGGTTCCTACTCACCCTTCCTCTCACCAAGGGAGCTGCAATCTGGAAACCCAACTCCGCAAAATGGCGATAGGAGCATGCCAGGTAGGGCCTCCGTTTGTTTGTCCTTCTTTTTCAAATGCAACAAGCTGATAGGTCTCAGCACCACAATCTGTCCCTGACCGAACAAAAGCGATCGGCAATGCTCATGGACGAGCGCCTCTTGTTCCTGGTCTTCAATTTGCCTCATCCTCCTTCAGCACCTCTGCGACACCCAAAATTGCCGAACAAGCGGCACCTGCACCCCAAACTGCTCCGGGTAGCTCGTCTGCGCCAAAAACATTACAAACGGTTCAAAAGGAAGCTCAGCTTGCCATCTTGCGTCTGCTACCCCTGGGCGTCAAATATCAGAATTATATAGAAGAGGGTATTGACGAGAAGGTGGTCAACAAGCTTTACAACAACCTTCATCTCGATATTCCGAAGCCGGCATCGGAGGCTGCGACTACAACTGCCTCTACGCAAAAGGCCGCCCCAGAAAAGGTGTCTAGCCCCGTACCCACCTCGCCGCAGACCACAAAGGTACAACAGCAACAACCGACACCTGTTGTTGCTGAGACAGTTTCCACAACTGAGCAACCAGGCAAAGAAGAAAGTCGCAAAGACCGTATTGCGCGGTTAATGGCCGCAAAGGCCGAGAAGGCTGCAAAGCCCCCGACTGTCCCTGCTCCGAAACCACCCTCTGCGCCCGCCCCAAAAACGGCATCTGCTCCTGTGGCGATGGCACAACCGAGCCCCGTATTTGCCGAAGCAAAGGTAGCGCCAGCGGCAGTGCAAGAAAAGCCGGCTGGCGACGCTGCCGCGCCTAAACCCAAACTGGGGCCCAAGGAGCTCTTGTTACAGCAAAAAATTGCAGCACTGCAAAAGTCTCGAGAAGCGCAGAAGCAGGGGCAGGCAAACGTCAAACCACAAGCCGCAACCCCAGGTCTTGCTGACAAGGCTACAAGTACTCCCATTCCTAAATCTGCGGCTCCAGCTCGTTTGAAAAATGGCATACCACAACCTCAAGCCCAGGCCAATGTACCCACGGCCATGTCGACAATTCCCGGCCTTCACTTCTCTGGAACCCCGAATGTCCAGCCTGCGCTACCTGCGAACCCGCGAAAAAGGCCAGTGGCTGCTGATTTTGTAGAGTATTCCTCAGCAGCAGCCAGTCTGCCTAAACGACCTTTCGGTCAAATCCGGAAGGAGACCTCCCTGGTCATTGATGTGACTGACGGCTCGGACGACGAGGATATGGACATTGATATGGACATGGAATCTCCTACTGATGTCCCACAGTCAACACAGACGGCTAATGGGAGCTTCCAGCGCGGCGGGCCATTGCGTGATTTCCCACCTTTGACAGACACCTTGCCGCCGCGTCAGTTTTCAAGCCCCGTCCCCGTTTCGCAGGCATCGAACCCACCTGCAACAGCGCAGAATATCAGAAGACGAGAGACGGAACTCGACGTCAAAGAACGGATGATTCAGGAAATGCGCAGGAAGATTGCTGAGGCTGAGGCCAAGAGGAAGGCCAGGAAGCCTTCCGCGGGTTCACAAACGCCTACACAGCCTGAGCAGACGCCGGAGTTGAAGGATGATGGAGGATTCAGACTGCCCACTACTCGACAGTCCGTTTCGACGAGCAGTGCGGGTCTATCTTCAGTCACAACCCCCGTACGGCCCGCTTCGGCAGCGCCTGTTCTTAGCTCGCCAAGCCTTCCGGAGCCTACAAAGCCGAGTCAAGCTGCAAAGGCGGCCCTGGAAGCCAAGATGAACAGACTGAGGCAGCTGCGAGAGGAACAAGCTCGCTTGGAAGCCGAGATCAATGGGTTGTCCGAGGAACCCGAGCAACCTGACACCAACACTATGGAAGTTCCCGCGCAGTCGAACGGTTCAGATATGGACACCACTTCCGGTAAGTCCTGTCCGCGATGATTGTATTTGGAGCATTATTCCCAGGACAAGTGTCATGTTACATGGTACTGTGCTCGAAGCTATATCTAACAAATCGGCGGGTGAAACTTCAGTATCTGCCCATCCTACTATTGAATCACAAAACGATTCAGATGCCTCCAAGCTTGAGATATTATCGGCGCCTTCAAAGTCCATGAAAGAGAGCAGCACCGTCGTAGGTGTGGATGATAAATCTTCCGGGTCGTCCTCCATCCCGGTCCCGGCTGCCGATGTCCAAGAGGAAACGGTTGCTGCAGAGACCGCTGAACAAGATGATCAAACATCCGCCATGTCACTTGATGAAGGCGAAGAGTTGGAGTTGGACCAAAGCGACCGGCCCACAGATGTTTCTGAGGGCATCCCGACATCACAGCTGGCCGACGAAGCTGGCGGTGGTGACTCTGAAGTTCAACGCGAGAACACGCCTGTCAAGCTTGATGAAACATCGCCAATGGACATCGACTCACCTCCGTCCAGCCCGACTTCCCTTGAGTCCTCTCCCGAGGACAAGTCGCCCTTACCAGACCAGATCTCGGTTGTTGCTCAGCCTCGTGAAGCTGCCCAGGAGCTAGAGGAGGAACCTGCAAGAGATGTAAACGTCGTTTCTCCTGAGGTCCCTGACCTTGTTCAGTTAACCAGATCACAGGAGACTCACGAGACGACGACAGCCAAGACAGGCTCGTTCAGACCTTACGAAAGCCCGTTGCGCTACTTCCATGCGTTTCGATTCCACCCGAGCTACCGGGACACTGTTTCCGGTGGTCTCCGATCTCTAACCTACAGTAACAGGATAAATCCGTCCATACCTCTCTGCCCGTCAGAGATTGCTGGTGAACAATGCGACGAGACGTGCGAATTCCAGCACATCAAATCTATTGTTGCTCCTGGTAAGTCCCCTCAAAACTTGTGGTAGGCTGCTAACATCAGACCTCCTTCCCTCCCCCCTCCCAGCGCGCTGACTCCTTCCCCTCTACCTACCAGACGATGCCATCCTCTTGGAGCTCGGCAAAGCCGACGAATTCGAAGGCGAGCAAAAGACCCGGTTCATCGATGGTCTTCGCAAGCTCCTTCACGAATTCCGTGCAAAGAAGGTCAGAGACTTCGAAGCTATTGCTCGCGGCATCATCGAGTACCGCACTCGCTTCCTGGGGGATAGGTCAAAGGTGCTTCCGTTGGAAGGGGTAACCCTTTGATCCATCCCCTTTTTGCCGTTCCGGGCACTTTTTGTCCCCATCAGCTTTAATCCCATCATAAACATTGTGGCTTTTCACTGCCCACCATTCCGGCCGTAGATATTTCACTTCGACCCTATCTTGCTTTGAAGAAGCATCCACATTCCATTTTTTTCCTTCCAGCGTGTTTTCCTTCCAGCATTTTTGACACGGGGTTGGGTTCATGGGGCCCGTTCTTCTCTCATTTGCTCTTTGCATGGCCCGCTTCTCTGGATCGGCTATAATGGGAGCCGACCCTGTGTTTGCACGCACCATGGCACAGTTGAGAGGTTCGAGCGGCGTTTGAGCAGCATTTTCAAGAGGAGGGCATTTTAGGAGTATTATACCCCCTTCTTTCCTAGTGGGATCAACTTCCCTGTGGAATTCAGGACTTCAGGCCGTTGCCGTCCCTGTCATGCCCAAAAGAGTGTGTGGAACAACAAAATAGGGGTTAGAGAGAAAAAGTGGATAGAAAGGATGGGGGTTGCGGCATTGAGAGAAGATTCGTTGTCAGAGTTATGTTACGTCCGTCCGCCTTAAGGCCTTGAAGCGACACCAGTCCGTTGAAGTCTAGATTTGCGGCAGTGAGTGAAGCTGACGAGGTCTGAGAACGAGGACTCGTCCCATGGAATAAAATGAATTTTCATCTTAACTCGGAACCCTTGATATTACTCATCGCTATGATATAAACCGTGCTGCGCTTCTCTCTATCTGCGCAACATTTGTGCCTGTAAACAAAGTAACTTAATCCCACCATCGCCATCATCGAAACACCACCTCCCTCAAGCCTCAAGCTCAGTCAAACCTCAAGGCAAACTCCTCCCACTCCTCGTCGCCTTCCCCACCTCACTCTGCGTCGTATCCTCCGCATACCTCTTATACGCTTCCACATACTGTTCATCTTCGCTCCACGTCTTCTTGACACTCTCCCTCTCCGTCACCGCCTCATACCACTCCTCCCACCTCTTCCAGATCTCCTCATCCTCCTCACTTCCCCTCTGGCCTGCAGGAGGGATACCGACTCCGCCGGGTTTATAATGATCAATCAGAAACAACCGCTTAGCCCAGGGTGCTAGCATGATGTCTACTAAACTGAACTTGTCGCCGAGGAAGAATGGTCCCGCCGACTTGGATCCCTCCGAAGAGGAAGAGGAAGAGGAGAGCATCATTTCTTTTGCAAAGGATTTGAGGTGTCCGTGAAACTCGGCCCGGATTTCTTCAATGGTGTAAGGTTTGTCGGGGGTGTGCTGGATAAACCGATAAAAAGCGGGAACTATCCTCGACGAAATATGGTCGATCCAGAGCCGGCATCGAGCCCTTTCGTAGGCGTCGTCGTCTTGCGGGAGGAGTCGTTCGCCGTATTGGGAAGGGTCGGAATAAGCTTCGTCCAAATACTCGCAGAGCACCAGACTTTCGTATAACGGCTTCGCTTCCTTCACTTTCCCGGTCTTGGGGTCGGTAGAGGTTGGGACGGCCAAAGTCGGGACAAGTCCGCGTGGGTTGAGAGCGAGAAACTCGGGCGCTTTGTGGTAAGGGTTGATCTCGATGTATTGGTGCGGAATGTTCTTCTCGGCGAGGGTGATCCAGACTCGTTGCACGAAGGGACAGAACCACCCGCCGTAGAGCTTGAGGGGGTGTGGGGAGGAGTGGGAGGAGGCGAAGAGCGCGGCGGCGCCGGTGGGCGAGCCTTGGAGGGAGGTGTCGACGGTGGCAGGTTTGGAGGAGGAGGACATGGTGCGCTGGTGTTGAATCTGGATGGGGAGGGGTCGATTGCTGGTGAGGCTGACGAGAGGGGAGCTTCTTCTGATGGACGAGGTGAAAGTAAGTTGTGGGAGCTTGGATAGCGTTGGCGAACGGAGGGTGAGGCTCATGGAGGTAGGTCAGTGCGGTGAGGAGGGTACAGAGCTTGGGGTTCCTGGTATTTGATGGTTGTTGATTTAGGAGGGGATATGGGCAGCATCTAAAACGAAAAGGATGGGCTGTCTATGACGTGATTGGAGTTGGGGATTCGCGAGGAGAAGAGGGGGGGGTTGAGGGGAAGGTGGGGGTTGATCAACACTCCCCCGTAACTCCTAACCCTAACCCCGCATCTGAATGATACAGTGTTCTAAAGGGGACTTGTTTACTGTTTACACCTTCACAACCCGTCATGATGTTCAGAGGCACAACACCAGATTCTTGTTCATAACTTCATTTCATTCATTAGATCATACCCAATCGGAACTTCTTGGGACCATACTTAGAGCCATGACCCTGTCCTGATTCAGGACCCCTGGTGAGACCCTGGCACGAACCTCCAGCAGCATGCAGTCCCGGGATAGCGAGACCGTGCTCGGGCTCGGGAAGGGGGGCGGTCTTGTTGGCGCGTGGGACGCGGGTAGTCTAGGATTTTGTGTTGGTCTTTTGTCAAGAGGCAGATAATAGAGGCTTGATAAAGTAACACTTACAGGCTCCTGACCGGCGCCGTGGATGATGTCGTGGCCAAGCTCGATGTAATTGTCAGAAGAACCGTCTCCTTGGCGAGGCATGTTGATGGATGTGTTTGTGTGTGGTTGGTGTGTGTGTTTGTGTGATGAGTTGATGTGATGGCTTTAGCTGTGCCTTTGATGCGTTTTTTTGATTGGTTTGCTTGTGATTGATGTGGTTAATGATGATGGAGAGAAAGAGATGTGCTTGAACGAGGAGATGACGGGAATGCTCTATTTGAAGACATCTGAACTTCAGTGATCACGCACGTCATTGTCTGGATTGTCATGTCCTGAGCGTCATACTGTGGGGAATTATGTAACTCAACCCCAATACGCTTTGACCTGGAGTCTTGGATCTCCAACTCAGACTGGATTCCATTGTTGTTCGTTGATCTTCATTGTCGACTTCGGTTCTTGGAGTATGAAATGCCCTGGATGCAGTACAGACGGCAGTCCGGCAGATAAGGACACCTGACCCACAGCTAGCGGAATGGATCAGGAACGCCCCGCAAACTGCCCTCCGCTCTGCGGCTAGGCTCCCGATTCAGGCCGTCTCAGGGTTCCATCGGTTGACGTCAGCCTGGGGCTTAAGACCATTGATTGAAGCTGGAGCCAAGGCCGGACACCCGACCCGCTTGCACTGCCGAGCTCCCATGCCTCCCGTCGACAACTCCAGACGCGACACGGGTCTGAGACATTACCAACGACTTCACAGCCGCAATTTCTAGTCGTATCGGGATTGGATCGCGCAACCGCCGTGCTTCTGCCTCGTTGTCCCTAAAAACTCACAGGCTCACAGCAGTTCGGTCAGACGGCGGCCTCGGCGTCGGCACCCCGCGCGCAGTCGCACACCGCCCGACAGAGGATTGCATAAAACATGCGAGGATGGATCGCCGTTTTGTTCATCATGCCAATCTTTCTTGCAGCGCTCTATCAGAGTAGAAACAACATCCCGCTTTTCCGTCGCTGGCCGTCATCGTCTCCAGTTGTATTGCTAAACTCCCTGATTTCTCCCTTCAACATCCGGATCTATCGTACCATGTCGACCTTCAACCACCCGGACTACGCGGTGCCCGTGACCTTGCCCGAGGGTCTTACCCAGGAGCAGCTTCTTGGTTTTCATCCTTTCCGTGTAAGACGAGGACTCTCCTAACTATTTTCATCCCATGTAGAGATACATACTGACAGGACCGGTCTCTGCACAGTCTTGGATATCCACGCTTGAGAACTCCCTTAGCCTGCAAGCTCGGAATCGTTCGCACCCCTTCCACCAGGATCCCTATGTGCTCCGCTCCGTGACGGTTCAGTCATTTGACCTCTTCGGCGGCAAAAGGCTTGGCTTACTCAAGCTCCTCGCAGAAGTGACCAACAGTGCCGGAGAGAAGCTCCCCGGATCAATCTTCCTTCGAGGGCCAAGCGTCGCCATGCTTGTGATCCTGATCCCCGACGATGCACCCGCCGATACCGATGAGCGATATGTCTTACTCACCGTGCAGCCACGGATACCTGCCGGTAGCCTGGAGTTTGTTGAGTTGCCCGCAGGCATGGTAGACCAAGAGGGCCAGTTTGTCGGGACCGCTGCAATGGAAATCGAGGAAGAACTCGGCTTGAAGATTCCCACTTCGGAGCTGAAGTGCCTGAGCGAGATGGCAGACATGTCCCCAAAGAGTGATAACGGCAAGATCCAGGATGGTAACCTACCACAAGCCATGTACCCTTCTGCCGGGGGCTGCGACGAATACATCCCCATCTACATGCACGAGAGACGCGTGCCACGGGACACGCTCAGTGACTGGACGGGTCGACTTACGGGGCTACGTGAGCACGGTGAGAGGATATCCCTTAAGCTGATCAAGATGCAGGATCTTTGGCGCGAGGGTGCCAGAGACGCCAAGAGTCTTGCGGCGGTAGCCTTGTGGGAAGGCTTGCGAAGGGAAGGAAAGCTCTGATTCAACCCACGAGTGGGCGGCATACGTGTTGCCAGATTTCCTTAAGAATAACGCTCAACGGCAATGTCCGCAACTCTCATCTTCATTCCTTCTACGGCCTGGTTACAGTCCGTATTTCTTCGCAATTTGAATACCCTTAGCGAAACTGGCCAGGCGAGCATCAAGCGCATACCCCTGAGCCTCCCATTTGACACATTCGTCCCACAAATCGGCGAGCTTAACGTGGAAGACCTCGATGAATTCGTTCTCTTCGAGCTCGGGTTTCAAGTTCTGGTTCTCCGGCAGGCTCATATCCACGCTGACCTCGACTACTTTGAAATTCGTGTTACAGAATCCGGGATCTGTCAACCTGTTAGCGTGCGAGAACCAGACAACGGAGACGAACCCTTTACATACCATTAAACATAATCGGCGACGTCGTCAAGGCTTGCGCAACATAACCTGTCTCTTCCTTGAGCTCCCGGACAGCTGCCTGTTCGGCCGTTTCCCCTTTATCCACCAAACCAGCAGGAAGCTCTATGCAAATCTTATCAAGAGGTGGACGATATTGCTTCTCGAGAAGAATCTCGCGGCCTACAAGGCAAAGAAGAGTTAAACTCGGCATAAGCCATGACGAACTCCACTACGAGCGGAAGAGACCCACCAGTGTCCTTTTCCAGGATAGCAATGACGCTTACACCATCAAAATCGCTGCCCTTGGGACGAGTGGTCCGCTCCGCGTGTTCCCATGTCCGGGTGACGCCGTCCTGGCCGATGTAGGTTGTCCTGTGAAGAAACGCTAAGTATCATGACCGCAAAGGCATGCAAGATACCGTAAACAGCGTCTGTGTTACTCTTGTACCAGCTGAACAAAGACTCACTTGACTAGTCTCTTCCACTCGGCCTCACTGTTGGACTATCCTTGATGGTCAGCATCGACCTGCTTGGTCAAGGGCATCAATCAACTCACTAAGAGCTCGGTAGAAATGACTCTTGCTTTGCCTTGCGACATTCTTCAAGTTGTTCAGCACCGGTAAACACTAGCGGGTTCTTCGGGTCCGTCTGATAAAAGCAGCTGAGCAAAGTGGATGAACCTCTGCGTTACCCCAGGGCCGCTTGGAAAGTTGGAGATGGTGGCGGCGCGGGGGATAAGCGAAGCGGATGGCGGTTGGTGCCGTGTCATCAGTGGGGCTTGCCCCTGAAACATCCATCCACAGCCGGCGGGGAGCGCCCTCAGTACTTGACCAGGGTGCATGACCCGACCCGACCCGACCAACCAACGGGCACCGTAACACGATCAATCGTCGGTAGAGCTGATCCAATCACATTATCCCGGGAAGGACTTCTTTGCTCATTTCTAACCATATCTATTAACAATTCCATGATAATTTCTCATACGAGATGTGGAACAGCATCTGTGTGATAAGTTGGCTGTCTCGGAGCGAGACGTATCAGAAACCCAACGGGCATCGGGGGTTTACGCATCGATATTAACTCGGGAAAGTCTGGAATGAGTACGATTCGCTGTCTACCAACTGGGTAAGGTAAGTCCATCCTACGTGATGCTCACATAGGGTACAATTCCGCGACCAGTCTGACTCTCATCACCTTTTACAATCACGCTTAGAGCACATAACAAATCCCATGATAGGGCAGCTCATGGCCCACCTTACCCACCTTTGAGGCGCCTCTCGGAACAAACAACAGATAGGCGGCGCCTCTACCCTTTCTTATCGCGCCTATTTACCGCACGTACCTGCAACACATGATGCCGTGATTCGGAAGCTCATGTTTGAAGGGACGAGGTGTGTAGGGCAAAGCCTGTCGAGTGTTTCTTATTCGTATCCATGTGGTTGCTGACACTTCCACTTTACGCCTTGAATTACCAGATTCGAGCCGAATGACGGAATGTGGCTGTTAGCCATGTACAACCGGAGAACCTGGAAGCTTTCACTCTGACTCTTCATCCTCGACAGCGACTGGCTCAAGAACTTCATGCCTGCCGGGCTCAGTGCTGCTCTTTTAGTGCCCAATGAGCAACACCAGACTGGATGCTTGTTCACAGCTGTGTAACCATGGGTGAGACAGCGTTGAGATACACCACGTGGATACCCACTGATCCAAAGGAATGATGGGAATGGGTGTTATGGACGGACTCACTGCCAAAGTTGTCTGCCCAGGCCCCACCATCCACAGATCACCCTCTTCGTCAAGTACAAATTCTGCTTGTGCTGGATGTTAACTTCGCATGCGCGGACTTGATCTCGCGCGGGTTATGACTAGGCTCATCCCGTTCCTCCAGTCGTTCATCCCAGCACTGATCTCGATAAGTGTCAGATGAACTCGAGTCCAAGTTAAGAAGGCTGAAACACCATACTCAGCGGTCCTAGGAAGATGCCAAGTGTCTTAGATCCTGTCATTCACGTTGAAGTGCTGGGCCAAAGGCACAGGATCTTACCTCAAACAGGACGACCCAATAGTCACGAAGATCCCTGGGGCGAGTGAGGCGCAAAATAGGCGCAAGTTGTCCCAGTCCCACTATCCTTGCCACAAAATACCATTACCTCTACAATCTCCTCTGTTCTCTCTAACCTTGCCTTACTCTCACCGAGAGCAAGGCTCATCAAAAGTTTCATCACTTATACGGTTCACGACCCATACACCGCCGTGTCATTTATCTCTATCTCAAGGTACTGCATACACATCCCTTTTGCGTATGCTGTGCCTCAAACCGTGGGTCCCTAACACCACACCCTTTTGGGCGGCCACATCCAGAGTGGTATCCCGAACCTTGATTCGATCACTCGTTATCTGCCACTTATTGCCCTACACGACGGATCCGAGGTTGATTAGGGTGCAGTGTGAACATAGGATACCCTATCACGAGTACGACGCCTTGTCCCAGGTCATTGCTCACGGTACCATACCACTCAAAGTTCTGGTCACCGTGCCCGAAACTCAAGCTTTTCAGTAGGTATGCATGCAGTCTGATGTTGTTCCCCCAGTGCTCTTAAAATGATCCTTTTATCCCCCTGCTTAACCTATTCTCTGCCATATCCGAGTTCCTGGAACGTCAAGTAGAATCAGAGTTTACTGACTAACCTATGCCGTCTCCTCCATACTTGATCTCGCTACTAGCTACTTCAAATGGCTTCATACAGAGATTTTGAAGAGGAAGGACTGGTACTAGGTCAGCAACGAGCTTCTTCACCTTCATCTTTTTCCACAAATGAATCCACCCCCTTGTTACAATCCCCCGTTCCAGAACTCAGCTACGCCGTCATCGACATCAATCCCCGGATTACTTACACCGCACGTGGAAGAGCAGATACCATTGCCACGTCGTCTACCGATACCGCCGTCGACTCCAATGCCAACAACGCCTACGATGCAGACCAGGAACAGTATAACTCCCTGCTTGAGGCGCGAAGAAAGCATCTAAAGCCCAAGATCATCCCGCTATGTCTCGGCGCCATGTTCCTCCTGGAGCTCAGCGTTGCGCTCAGTGTGCCACCGACTAACGCTGTGGAGGAGAGCATAATTTGTCGCAACTTGCATCCGGACGTTGTCTCGGGATTCGCAAACAACACGGCGAGCTTACTGCTAAGCGATAATCCGGTATGCAAGGAGGAAGATGTCCAGAGTTACTTGGCAATGTTGCAGGGGTGGCAGGCCACCTTTGACTGCATCCCAAGCATTCTCATGACAGTACCGTTTGGCATATTGTCCGATAAATGGGGCCGAAGACCGGTGCTTGCGCTGGCGATGTCGGGGGCTATGTTGCAGATGTTTGCGTTGGCTACTATTCGTAGGTCTGATCCGCGGTTTTGGTGGTGGAATGGTGGTAGACTTACAACTGAGCGCATCGCAGTATTTTTGCCGAATATCTTTCCGATATGGACAGTTTGGCTTACCTCTTCGTTCCTTCTGTGAGTCCAAGTATTGGCCTGAAGAAACAAACATCCTCGTCTAACTCGAGTCAACAAACCAGAATTGGCGGAGGCGGTGGCATCATCGCAGCCATGCTCTACACCTTCATATCCGATATCGTCCCCATCGCCGAACGAGCTACCCTCTTCTTCCAAATGCACGCTACTTACCTCACAGCGCGCATGATCTCCGGGCCCATAGCCGGTTCGCTCATGGTCAAAAGCCCATGGATTCCCCTCCTCCTCTCTCTGGGCCTCATAACCCTCGCAGCCGCCACCTCCCTCGTCTTCCCCGAAACTCAACACCTCAAAGCCCAAGCTTCGTCAACGAAACGGATTGACAACGACGATAATGTCCCAACCCGTTTTCCCACAGACGACGAAGAAATCGACAAACCCATGATACCCTCCTCCTCCCCATCACCCCCCTCCCCCCTTTCCCAACCTCAGCAGCAACCCATCACCATCACCACCCTCATCCAACGCCTCACCACCTCCCTCCTCTCCTTCTCCCACTTCCTCACCATCAACAAAAAAATCTGCATCCTCACCCTCGCCCTCGGCCTCGTCGTCATCGGCAAATACGCCCAAGCCCTGCTCCTTCAATACGCCACCAAGCGCTTCCACTACTCCTGGTCCGAAGCCTCTTACCTGCTGACCATCCCGCACTTTACTTCGCTGATTACCCTCCTCGTTATCCTGCCGTTTGTTTCCTCCCTTCTTCTCGGCACCTCCGCAAGAACAACACGATTCCGCCGCCTAACCCCCCTCCGCAAAGACCTCCACCTAGCCCGCGCCTCCTCCCTCCTCCTCACCTCCGGCTGCCTCCTCATCGCCCTCGCATCCACCCGCCTCTCCCTCACTGCGGGTATGATCCTCTTCGCCCTTGGAAGCGGATTGGGGTCAACCCTAAGGAGCTTGTTGAACGCGTTGGTGGACGAGGAGCACATGGGGCTTGTCAATAGCGTGGTCGGTTGGTTGGAGATGGTGGGGATCATGGTTGCTGGGCCGGTGTTGGCGGAGGGGATGAGTGAGGGGCTGAGGAGGGGGGGCGGGTGGGTGGGGTTGCCGTTTTGGATGGCGGGGGGACTGTTGGCGGGGGCGAGTGGGTTGGTTTGGGTTGTGAGGGTGGGGGATGGGAAGGGGGATGGGAAGGGGGATGGGAGGAGAGGTGGGGGAGAGGAAGGACGAGGGGAGGTGTAGAACTAGACGGGCCGGATAGGTAGGGTTCAAAGATATGGGGATTTGTCATGGTTGTGGCAAGGCGTGATGGTTCTCTGTCATTTTTGTGAGGGTTTGCCGATGATGATGTTGATATAGGGGAGAAATGGCGTTTAAGGACTGTTTATGATATATCCGCAGTGGCTGATTTAATGAGACCTCGGAGGTCGGGTGTTCTGCATGTTGTCGAGCATTGACGACTGATTTTGATCTGGATATTGTGAAAATAACAGGACTGTCTTCTTTTCGAACCCGTGATTCTAAAAAAAGTCTGAACCTCTCGTAGAGTTGGTTGAAGAACAGAAAATAGTGAAACGAAGGTGAAGAAGGAGCAAAAAGAAAATCGAAGCGAAGAATGATGAGAAAGAGATAAAAGGATTCTGAAGGGCAAAAGAAAACATACAACACCTGGGATTCGCTGGTCGTCACCGACCCAACTACTAGTCAGGCGATATGGTAGCTTATCTATCGGAGTCGAAAGGATATGAACCGGGTCTTTTAATCACGTGGTAGGGTCAAAAAACTGAACAACAACCTCCCGTATCCATATCGTTCGGACGGAGGCATTATAGTGAGTGGGGAGCCGGCGCTAAAAAGATGAATATAATTGGGCGGATTACGAGAAAAAAGTTGACCGTCCTGACACTGCGGCTAGCCCCGTTAACGTTTGTCAAAGCGCAATATCCGCGGTATGGGTATACTAGCACAATTCTCAGTCGCGGCCGTATAAGCTCCTCTTCCGGTAGCTGAACCTTGGACTTCAACGAAAGCATTTCTTTGGCAGTATGAACAGCTGCTTTATGTCTTGCTGTTGGTGCGATCGCCGCTTGGCGTCGGTTCCATGCACCCACAGGTCCCAAAGGAAATGAAAAGTAAGGCATCAATGCATTGTCCGCTCAAGGACACTGGTTATCGCAACGGCTTGGTTGTTGACAGCACTAGCAGCCTAGGCTCTACTGCAATTTGCAGATTTGCAGGTTTCACTCGGATTTACAGCCCTACCCGCGCCACGTCCCCATAAGTGGTGCAAGCTACCAGGCCACTGCTAGTACACTATTGCTACCCCTGTAGACCCCGTAACAGAAAGCCACGACCCTCGCCCAAGTCGAGTTATTGATTGGCGCCCTGAAGTCTCTAGGTCTAGAATGCCTAGCCTCAAAAAAGAAATGTCGTTTGGGTAATTAACATGTAATTGGGAGGGAGCCGCCAGCCATCCTACGCCTGACATGGTGAAACAGAAACAGACTCAACACGACGCCTCATGCTCCACCATAGCCTTGAGAAAACATAGTACTCTAGTTTCTTTTTATTTTGTCCTTGGAGGCAGGATAGAGGAATCTCTAGCATTTTTACAAACTCAATCCATTGATCGTCAACTGTATAGCATTCGCTGCCTCCAAGACAACACGATCATCCTCGAGTGCCTCATCTACGTCGCCTCGCTCAAGACCTTCGTTCCCTAAAGCTACGATGTCTCAACAACTGCACAATACGGAGGGTTGGGAAGACGATAAGGGCCAAGCGCAGTCTCGCCCTGCACCTCTGCAACAAATCTCCGCCGCCACCGCTATGTCCGCTACCCGTATGCCCGCTCCCGGGCTCCCAGCCGCTCCAGGTACCAGTTCCGCTGATGCAGAGACGTCCGCTGGCGTCCAAAGCCCGAAGCAGGTGGAAGTAGGCTTACTTCTTTTCTCCCTACGACATTCAGAATAACGCTAACACCTGTAAAGAATCTGTATTACAACGTTCCCCTGGCCCGTGGCCATATTCGCTTGCTTCAACTATTGCCGCATAAAAACGAGGACGCCGCAATACACTGTCGGCTCTTCTGCACCGCATTGGACTCAAAAGGCACTCGTCCGTACGAGGCCTTATCTTACGTATGGGGCTCTGAGGACAAGCCTTGTTCCATCTCTATAAACGGGTGCGACTTGCCCGTCGGAGAAAACCTTTACGCAGCGCTGTTACATCTTCGAGATCACTCCATTGAACGAACTATATGGATAGATGCCATTTGCATCAACCAAGGAGACAAAGAAGAAAAAGGACACCAAGTTCAATCTATGGCGAAGATCTACGCTAAAGCAAGTCGCGTAATTGTTTGGCTTGGAGAGGAGGCAGCCGGTAGCGACCAAGCGCTCGAAGAAATACGCATCGCAGCCGAGCCGTCTACAAGACGATTAGACGATAACGCGGGAATCCTTACACTGCTTCAACGACCATGGTTTCAGCGCATCTGGGTAAGGGAACTGATGTCAAAGTATTATGACTAAGGAAACTAACAGATTGATGCAGGTGCTTCAGGAAGTTGCCGCGGCTCGTCATATCCTGATCAAGTGTGGTTCTGCTGAGGTTGACGGATCTGCATTCTGCTTAGGCCTAGATGCATTGAACCTATCCAATGAACTCAGCGCAGACTTGCAGGCTCGAATCCTTTCGGTAACCTACCTCATAAGGGGCGCAATCTTCCGGCCCAAATACGTGACCAATCAGTCAGACAACTTTTCTCTTAACATACGCCCTCTAGGCGAACTGATAGAGATGTACCACACCCGCGAAGCTACGGATCGTCTCGATAAAGTATATGCCTTACTCGGTATGAGCTCTGATAATCCAACCGCAGCAGGATTATTCGCCGACTACGACATTTCGTGGAAACAACTCTTCAACAAACTCATCCACTTCCTCTTACCTGAATTGGTCTCTGTAGACCTTTCGGACGATAAGGAGATTGCCGTCATTAAGGGCAAGGGCTGCATTCTTGGCGAAGTGTCCTCGGTCAAGAGAAATGCTACTTGGGAAGACAGACAAGATGTGGCCATTACTTGGAATAATGCCCCCAGCTATATTTGCGTGAAGGAAGCATGGGGTTCTTCCTGGACTCTCCCGACCACGGTAAAATCCGTCCAAAAAGGAGATGTCGTCTGTCTTCTTCAAGGAGCATCGAGACCCACGATCCTCAGGCCATACAACGATCACTGGGCGGTTATAATGATTGCAGTTTCCCCAGCAGGCGATTCACAAGCTACGACCGGAGATATCAAACAATTGATAACAGTCTTTCCACACAATTTTCTACTTATCTGGGATTGGGATATAGATCCAAACAAGCAGCAAGATAAAAACAACTATGACTACTTTGCAAGCATTCCAGTACCAAAACATTCAAAGACAGGGTTGGAAGGTTGTCTAAATGCGGCGACTAGGATACGGAATGTCAGATTGGCATTACAAGAGGTGAAACAGTATGGAGTTGCAGTGAAGAATCTTCGGGAAGAAACGGCGGTTCTTGAAAGGGCATTGAGGAGCATGAGCGACCTAAAAAAGACTTGCCTAGGTCTCGAGGATTCAGAAAAGGAAGATGCAAAGGAAACAATGGTGAATCAACTTATTGAGGACAAGGGCCAATGGACGCTTCTATGCTTGGCGGTAGAAAACGGGCATGAGACGGTCGTAAAATTGCTTCTCGACACCGGCAAGGTCAACTTGCAGAGGGAGGAGCTACGGACGGCGCTGTGGCTTGCGGAGCAAAAAGGCTATAAAGCGATCGCTAAGATGCTTCTCGATACTGGCAAGGCTGACGCAGGTGCTAAGGATGAGAATGGACAGACAGCGCTGTATCAAGCGGCGATAACTGGGCATGAGGTAGTTGTTCAGCTACTTCTCGATACCGGCAAGGTTGATGCAGGTGCTAAGGATGAGAATGGACAGACAGCGCTGCATATGGCGGTAGAAAATAGGCAGGAAGCAGTTATTAAGTTGCTTCTCGATACTGGCAAGGTTGACGCAAATGTTCAAACTTGGGCTGGACGGACAGCGCTGCATATGGCGGTGGAGAATGGGTATGAGGCGGTTGTTAAGCTGCTTCTCGATATTGGCAAGGTTGACGCAGATCTTCAAGACCGGGATGGACAGACAACGCTGCATATGGCGGCGGAGAATGGGCATGAGGCGGTTGTTAAGTTGCTTCTCGATACTGGCAAGGTTGACGCAGATCCTAAGGATGGGGCTGGACGGACAGCGCTATATATGGCGGCAGCAAGTGGGCATAAGGCGGTTGTTAAGCTGCTTCTCGATACTGGCAAGGTTGACGTAGGTGCTCAGGGCCAGTATGGATGGACAGCGCTATATATGGCGGCAAAGAATGGGCATGAAGCGGTTGTTAAGCTGCTTCTCGATACTGGCAAGGTTGATGCAGATTCTCAGGATAGGGCTGGACGGACAGCGCTATATATAGCGGCAGCAAGTGGGCATGAAGCGATTGTTAAGCTGCTTCTCGATACTAGCAAGGTTGACGCAGATCCTAAGGATGAGGATGGATGGACAGCGCTATATAAGGCGGCAAGGAATGGGCATGAGGCGGTTGTTAAGCTGCTTCTCGATACCGGCAAGGTTGACGCAGATCCTAAGGATGGGGCTGGACGGACAGCGCTATATATGGCGGCAAGGAATGGGCATAAGGCGGTTGTTAAGCTGCTTCTCGATACTGGCAAGGTTGACGCGGATCCTAAGGATAAGAATGGATGGACAGCGCTATATATGGCGGCAGCAAGTGGGCATAAGGCGGTTGTTAAGCTGCTTCTTGATACTGGCAAGGTTGACGCAGATCCTAAGGATAAGAATGGATGGACAGCGCTGCATATGGCGGCAGCAAGTGGGCATGAGGCGGTTGTTAAGCTGCTTCTCGATACCGGCAAGGTTGACGCAGATCCTAAGGACTGGGCTGGATGGACAGCGCTGTATAGGGCGGCGGAGAATGGGCATGAAGCGGTTGTTAAGCTGCTTCTCGATACCGGCAAGGTTGACGCAGATCCTAAGGATGGGGATGGATGGACAGCGCTGTATATGGCGGCAAGGAATGGGCATAAGGCGGTTGTTAAGCTGCTTCTCGATACCGGCAAGGTTGACGCAGATCCTAAGGATAAGAATGGACGGACAGCGCTATATATGGCGGCAAAGAATGGGCATGAAGCGGTTGTTAAGCTGCTTCTCGATACTGGCAAGGTTGATGCAGATCCTAAGGACTGGGCTGGATGGACAGCGCTGTATATGGCGGCAAGGAATGGGCATGAGGCGGTTGTTAAGCTGCTTCTCGATACCGGCAAGGTTGACGCAGATCCTAAGGATGGGGATGGATGGACAGCGCTGGATATGGCGGCAAAGAATGGGCATGAAGCGGTTGTTAGGCTACTCAGGCTACTCAGCCTTGCATCCTAAGAGGCAGGCTTGGAGGGCAACTCCACCTCGAGTCAGCCTTTTACAATCTTTCCTCCTGCAAGAATTGATGTTGGTTTACTCCCCAATCTTTATTATTTACTCTCTATTGCTTTCTATCGTATTGAGAGTCTCCCTGGTCGTCGTACATCTCAACAGCAACGCTGAAGGGACCGCAATGGCAATATCACGTAGAATGTATTTGCAGCAGTCAAAAGTGACAGAACCTTCCCGTATATTCTAGCAGGCGCGGAGGGCTCTAGCAACAATGCTTCGCTTTGTACTCAAGCTTTCGGTCGATCTTTTCAGGTCCCAGATGGTCGATATTATGTCGTGGATGCGGGGTTTGACGTGTGGCAGGGAATCGTGGATTTGCAAGACTGGAGGAATGAAGAAAGGAGGCCTCGCCGTGCGAGGAGCCCGCCTTGAAGAAGTACCAAGTTGAAGAAATTACGGAAGTTGACTCTTCCCTTTCAGAATCTTTTGTCACTGACAATCTTCCCCGAGTCAGTCGTACCGCAGATGTTGAGTGTCTTTCTCCTTTGGAATCTTCTTATGCTAGTACAATTCGGAACGGTTCTCATACTTGGGCTACTTCAAGCCTTCGACTTTCAGCCTTCAACGCTCAAACTTATTTCTAGATTTTCCTAAACCGAAGAAACTCGAGGTTGAAAATGCCGCTTATAGTAAAATCGCGTTTCGGTCGGTCTCCGAGACACTTAGACACGCTCAATCTTTCAGCAATAGATGGCGAGGACCAATTGCGATGGAGAGCCTCTTCCGAGAATTCTAGCCACGGCTATAATCGATACTATCTCAACGGAATGACGCGCCGCCCGGCCCTTCCACGCTCCTGGGCAAAACTTCCTCTCGGTGCTCGGCGGTGCTATGACTGGTCGGTTCGAATGCATTATACGATGGTCACCTGCGTTTTGGTTTTATTGGTTGGGACCATCCAAAGTTATTTACCCTTGGCACTTGACAGGTCATACAATCGTAGGCCTTCTGCGTGTTTTCTTGTTTTACTTCCTTCCCTAGAATCTTCAGTCATTAATGGATTCGACTACCTCGCAATGAGCATTCGGGTTAACCTATTTACAAAGCTGCAGGCGTTTACTAGCGGGGTTTAGCGTTTGGGCTAGAATGTTCATTGGCGGGCATTAGATTTTACCGAGCGACGAATAGTCGGACCAATGAAGTAGGGCAAGGCAGGCAGATGAAGGAGGCAGGCTAATGCAGGCAGGTTACGGCAGGAAGATAAAGGAGGTAGGTCAAGGCAGACAAGTGAAAAGTCTACTCTAAGAAGCTCTGGATAATGATCGACCTGAATAATACTACCAAATTTGAAAGGATGCTTGCGACCAAATGGGCGCTCCGCAAATGCGACCAGCCTATACGGCATCTGAATATCATGGTGAGTCCGAAGAGGCTACTCGAAGAAGAAATCAAGTTCGATATTATTCGCGCTGGCCCCGGCGACCTGGTTATAACACGACCACGACAATATCACGCAGTTATCAATCAAACCCCGTCTCTTGCTATAGCAACCAATTTCACTTTGCTTAGTGAAGAAGCAATTCCGCGTGGATGGGTTGTTTGTCCAGAAGACGGGTTCTACGGTCTGTCCCATGGCAACCTCAAAAAGCTTTCCCATGGGCCCCTCGCCAAGAAACGGAAATCAAACGCCACCTTTCTGCTACACAGCAAAAGGCAGAATTTTGGTCAGTCTCGAGATATTAGCAATGTTGTCGGCAACAAAGATACTAAACGGAGAGACTATGAAGAAAACGAAAAGCAGGACGAGGAGGACCAAGAGCAGGACGAGGAGCAGGACCAAGGGCAAGACAAGTACCAAGAGCATGGTAACAACGAGAATAGCAATCAGAACAGCGACAATGACACTGACGCCGCTATCAGTGTCGGTTGCGGTGATGCCCAAATCAAAGTCGACAGCAACACGAAGGATACTAATACCGATACCGATATCGAATCAGGTCGTCAACTCGCAAGCCTAACGATAGACAATGGTGCGATCTTGCGATTCATGTCAATCGTATACGCTTGGGACAGTGCGGACGATACATTGAAAAGCTCGTTCGCCTCGAGAAAGCCTACGGACGAGTTGTCAACTGCTAGGCACTACGATAATCTACGACGAAAAGCACAAAATCTCAGTATTTTGTACACCGTTTTGGGCATGTCAGCCAGTTTTCGGCTTTCCAAAGTCATAAAAGAAAATGAAAATCGACATCGAGCAAGCAGAAGTTGTATATCAGCTGTGTTAGCAGGTCGTGGCATCGAAGACACTCCTAAAGCGCGGAAGGCATTCACGACGGAAATATCTGAGGCTCGGAAGATGATGAAGATGGTAGAAGGATACGATGGGCTTCTCTGCTTTTTACCCCTTGGGTTTGGTAGTGGGTTCACGTTAAGAGCTTTGAAGAGGTTTTCGAACAAAGGCCTCGAGACCTTCCGTGCCACCATTGCTTGGTATGAAAGCCTAATGTTGTTGAGTGAGGTGGGCAATGAGTTTCTACTTTCTGTTTGGGGTAAAGGAGAGTTCAAAGAAAGATTGTTCCAAAGGAGACAGCTTGGCGAACTGCAAAACCTACCTAACGAAGACCTCATTAAGTTTCTGACACCCATTCAGCCCGAGGATGGTATATAGGGTAGTCTTATAAGGCTGGACATTGCATTCAAAATAAGCAGTATCAACCGTAGCTGTATTATTTTTTTTTCTGCCAGTTTTTGTTCTTAATCAAGTCCCCCGTGGTATAGATAGCAGGACTCGGATCCCGAACACGCAAATCAGCACTGCGAATCTTGTACGATAGGTGCCATAAACACCATCGTGAACGCAATTGATCCATAGAATCGCGTAATGAAAAGATGCCAAGGACGTGCTTGGTTGTGGTCACCTTCTAGTAGAATAAATCCAACTCTGACAACTCAGACGTTCGCTTCGGAAGCCGATAGTCCGTTTATTGAAGTGTCGGGTGCTCCATAAGGTGTTGAATATTCCCCTTCTAACTCGTTTTATACGTAGGCACAAGAGAAAAGTTGGGACAGGTTCCTATTCCGGGCTGAGAAATGGCGTTTGCTCGTTCTTTTCTCGCATCTCTTTAATCAATCAATCCTTCGAGAGGTGCGGAAATATAGCCGATAGTGATTGTGGGGAGCTGTGTTTCTAGATATGGCGGCCAGAACCCTAACCCTAGTTCTGACGAGCTGGAACTAGCGTTAGGGTTCCTCAACCGCCTGGTCGATGTGGGTAGTCTGCCATCACTGTGACACGTGACACTAATGTCCGCTGAATTCGGTAGGGGTGGTAGGCAATACCCCAAAGCAGTTTAATTTAATTGTAATTAATTTCTAGTATTAAAGTAAATATTTTTATACTATGTAAGTTTTTTTCGTATTACAAAGTAGAAGTATAAAATTAAACGAAAATATTTTATTGTAGAATTACAAGAATATATAAATAAGCTTACTATGACGGCGCTGGCAGTCAGCGACCCACATGTGAGTCCCGCTACCACTTGTGCGACCAGGGTATTTATTTGGGTCTGCACGCTTGTATCTAGTTCTCTTCCTCTTTTCTTCTTCCCATCTGAAATCTTCTGTCATAGATAGAATCTTAGCTTTGCCTTCGACCCTCCCATACTGTGCCCTTGCACTTACTATAGTCAGGCAAAGGTTATACCACCTTTAAAGCCAAACGCAAACGCTAAAAAAAGTAAAACTATTGCTACTGACAACAACTATATTACGAAAAAAGAGTTTCAAGAATTACTGGTAAAAGTGGACATAGATAACGAGGGGTTAGAAGAAATAAAGAAGGTTTTCTATAAATAAGGTTTGGTTTTGTATATTCAAAATATAAAGATAAACCATTAGTGATAGTAGTCTTATTCCCTATGCTAGTAACTATATACTAAACGTCCGATGAGCATGGGGTCCTTCACCTATTTTCGGAGGGAAAACCGTACATACTTCCGTCTGCCGGATAAAAACCACCGCCCCTTGCCTGGCCGCGAGGCCGGCACCTGCGTTTCCTACCGTAGCGGTGCTCACCCACCGCTCGGTGAATAATGACGTTAACGCATCGCCGATATCTTACCATCGACTGATGTGTTATCCCTGAGGGTCGGCTTCGCCGACTCCTTCCTCCTCCAACTCAACTGCTAGACGGTATTCTCGGAGCCGTCCCACTCTCAATACCCAACCGAGGAGGCGGCCGGCCTGCTCTCCGTCGTCCAAGTATACAGCCAGTTGCTCTTGGCTGTGCGGACACTCTTCTTCCCTTATTCGTTGGTTGAACGTCCACAGACAGTCGTAAACCAAGTGTGCAAAGGTCTCCTTGCCCGTCCCGCAAGAGCAGTACGGTGTTTCGATATCGGGGACCTTCCTTTTAAATAGGAAGGACCGGAGCCCGATTACTTCTGTCCGCGCGCTTGGATGAGGAGTGAGCTTTTGGCTTTAGAGAGGGGGTGAGGGTCTTTGCCCTCAGCCTCTCCGCGCCTCCTTTTCTTTCTGGAGCCGACCATATGTCTCCTTATCAAAGTCCCGTCGAACTTTGGGTATAGGTCAGCGATCGTCAACTGGTAGCGTCTTCCCGACTTGGAGACTGCCGCCGCTGTCTGCATCTCCCATCTTGCTATCCATTCCTTCCTTGTTGCTTTCTCTAACCACCGCTCCCTATCTTTGGCCGATGGCTCTTCCTGATACGGCGTGCCCTGTTGCGTATCGTGTGGCGCGTCTTGCGGCGTTGTTTCCCTATTAGGTCAGCGGTGGGCGCCCATCTCTTGGCCCATTGGGCTTTGGCCGCTCCGCTTTTCAGTAGGTCTTTGGGAGGGGAAGTCCGTAAAGGTAAACCATTAGTTTGAGACAAATTAAATAGTACTTAATCATTTAATTATCAAAAAAGCCATTAGTTTATTACTAATTTGTAAATATTTAAAAACAAAAAAAAATTGCTTGTAGACTTCGTAAAAATAAGATTTCTAAAATTGCAAAAAGAGACAAACTGAGTGAAGAGAACTCCAATTCCTTATAAAAAGAGGTTAACAGCACGAGGTGCCCGCCGTTGTTTGCCAAGCCTTTTTATCGGTCCGGACCGACAAAAAGGCTTGGCAAACATTCCTCTAGGATATCCTCTGTAGAAAATCATTTCCTACGTTGGGCCTGTTAATACCTCTAGAACTCCACTTGCTTCACTTTTTCCATCCGGCGCATCTTTGGGGTAGACTGCCGTTGAGACATTTTTTGGTTGTTGGCCTAAGGGGAATACATTCCAATTTTACTATATCACTATAACCTATATTTTACACGTTCTTCCTCATGGTGGGAATGTACTTCGGATGACACTCCATTGTCGTAAAAGCCGTTGTCCAATTTCAATGGTCAGAAGAATAGCTGTTATAGAAGATGCGAAGAATGCTTTATCTTTTTCTATTTCTGAATTATGTCCATACTAGCAGCGTTGAAGCCAGATCCCGGCCCTATACGGAGCCGGTCAACCCGGTTCTACATTTGTCTGCCGGCTATGCGGGGCCGAATGTACGGATGGGGCTAAATATTGAATGATATGCTTAAGTTGTGCCAACTTCCGTGACCACATCTTGACACTGCCTGCTTATACCCCTACCTGGGTCTTATTCCATTCTTTAGAGAACTGATGGCCATAGTCGGACATGCACTTAACCTTCTCTGGAGGGCTCGCCTGCCACTGAATGGCATCATCTTCATGGCCTTCCCCTCCAACCAACTGGGTTGTAAAGTCCCGGGCCTCCTTAATTTGCTTTCCCCTCTCGTCTGAATACTCAAGACTGACCGACGGCACCACGGCAATCTTGCCATAACCATGCCACCAGAGGTCCTTGCAGAGAAGTTGAGGCTCGCCTTGTATACACTCACCCTTTCTCGGAGCTCGGAAAGCGATCTTCTTCTCCAAGAAGGGCTTTGCAGTGAAAGCGGTGGCGCCGTTCCAACACGAGAAGACCTGGAAGGGCTGGTGGGCAAAGAAGCGCTCACGCGCAGTGGGCTCGTTCCAGAAGAGGTTCCAGGCAGAGTTCCAGTTGCCATCGGGCGGAATCTCAAAGAACGAATCACCTGCCGCCAACGTCCGCGCAATCCATACGTCATAGAAAGTTGGGTCGCGGCCGACATAGGTCCAATCCATAGCGCATGTCATGTCAGCACCGAGGAAGCGACGCTGATGGACCAACTCAAGAATATCGTCTGTGCAAGCGGCAACATCGTTGAGGAAGATAACAGTCGCGTTTGCTTCGGCGGGATAGAGCTTCGAGTTCTTCGGGTCGAGCATGGGTTGCAACGCCAGATTGCGGAGTTCGGTGAGCTTCTGAATGCGAGCTCCTTGCTTCGGGTTGATGTCGCTCGATTTGAAGTAGTACGTTTTGGTCAGGGCATCAAGCTCCGGGCGCAATGCCTCCAGGACCTCAGCTGTGCCGTCATGGGAGTTACCCTCAATGATGGAGAGCGCGCAGCTTTGTGGACCGAAGAATCGGATGGCTTCTACGATGCTTCCGATGAAGCGCGGCAGTAGATGAAGGCATTCGCGGAGATCGAGGGCAAAGAAGTGCTGGATCCCCGATGAATCAGCATCGCCATCATCGTCTTGGACCGCGAGATATTCGTATCTCAAAGGATTGAAGTCGGGACATTCGAATCGTGGAAGGTTCTTTTCAGGGTTCATGATTGCGACGACGTAGGCAGTGCGGTTTGCGGCCGATAGAACGGTCGGATTCGGGACAGGCACAGAAGGACATTAGATAAAGATAACATCAAGGCAACTGAAGGACTCACCATTGTTGGCGGGCTTGGTTGTGATCACTCTGGTGGCGGTGATGGTCGCAATCGTGGTTCAAGTAAGAGATATCTCGGTGGGAGAGACGGAGCCCCTCCTCAACTATATTAACAATCGAACCCTCAGAAACTTCCGAGCCTGCTTGGAATACAGCGTTTTATTCCGGGCTAACATTGTGTGAATTAGGGCACGAAACTAACGTCAACAACTGCACATTATCGCACCACGGTCTAGCGGGCTTTCGTTATTTATTCATTGCCAACCTTTATTGCTCGGTCCGTCCGCACAGCACCTTCACCTCACCTCGATCATCCTTTTGTCTAGGAAAACCCGAAAAAATCATCATTCCCTACTAAGCCATAGGAGGGAAGGGAGGGTCGGGCTGCCGTCATCATCATGGGATTAAAGAGTTATTTCATAGCAAAAAAAGCCCGAGCCGGCTGCCGGGCAGAATGAGAAACCACAACGAGGTCGACCGCCTGCCACCGGGGATCCGATATTCAATCCACTGACTCCGAATCACGATGTACTCGCTCTCCCTCACGCCCACTATAGTGCCAGAGCCCGCTCGGAAGCACGCTCGTTCCTGTCGACGACGAGCTCGATAATGCTCGAAGACATCAAGCATGAGGTCATGGTCAACTGGCTCTATCAGCAGCAGTGCTCCTACCTCTGGGTAGCAAGCGGCAGCGGCGAGATTGAGGGCGTGATGCTTCGAAAGTCAAGAGGTCGATACATGACCTGCCTGCCGGCACTTGGGAATTCCCCCTTGGCTGCGGCCTGTGCTGCGCTCAACGTCCAGGTGAGAATGATTACCCAGAATATGTTCAGGTGCTGTGTGCTGACAAGGGGCTTGGAATAATGTGCCATGACGGTCAACTCACGAGTCATCAAAACGTTCCTACAGTGGTCTCCGGAGGCTATCGAGGTTCCTCTGAACGACGGCTTGCGCATCCAAATCCTTCCCACCGTCGACGATCTTCTTCGTGCCCGAAAACATCAGTTTGCGGCCTTTGTTGCCTCGGAAGGCTTGCTCGTCGTTTAGGATAACGATCCCCTCCATCTGATTCCCAGAGCCAAGCATATCGAGTCAGCGCTCATGCAGCTCGTATGGAAGGACGGCAATGAGGTTGACGACGAGGAGGAGAGTGCTCCTCCCATGGTGGAACGAATCGTTGAAGTCGATACGGAGAGCGGCGAGCCGAAACGAGAAAAGCGACCGGTTCACTTGCTCAACACCTATCTCGTCAGCATCACGCTCTTGATCGTTACAGTATCCCTTAGGTCCGCCTGGAGGCAGCTCGCTATTGAAGTCATGGTTGATGGTGACTTTGTCCGTCTTGCTCTCATCGTCCTGGCACCGGTCCAAATCTTCTTCACTCTATTCTTCGCTCAAGTTATTGTCGGCTCCTTAGCTCAGATATTTGGACCTATTCAACAGCTCTCGGTCAACTCAAAGTTTTACTCGGCCAAACTGCCGCCGAGGCTGCAGACCCCTACCCTGCCTCACGTTACGGTGCAGTGTCCTCTCTACAAAGAAGGCCTCGCCGGTGTCATTGCTCCCACAGCCAAGTCGATCAAGCACGCCATCTCCACGTACGAGCTCCAGGTGGTGCGGCAAACATGTTTATCAATGACGATGGTCTTCAACTGATCTCCGAGGAAGACCGCCAGGAACGAATTGAGTTCTATGCAGACCACAGCATCGGTTGGGTTGCCCGCCTTAGACACGGCGAAAACGGCTTCCAACGCCGTGGCAAGTTCAAGAAGGCACCCAACATGAACTTTGCCCTCATGATCTCGTGCAAGGTGGAAGAAAAGCTTAGCCAAATCCAGAGATCCCCGGAATGGTCCCAGCATGACGAAGCTCAAGCCTATGAGCGCGCCCTCCAAGAGGTTCTCGAGGAAGATGGCCGTGCCTGGATTGACGGCAACATTCGGATGGGCGACTACATTCTCTTGATTGACTCGGATACCCGTGTACCGGCCAACTGCTTGCTTGATACTGTCTCGGAGATGGAGCAGTCCCCCGACGTTGGTATCATGCAGTTCTCATCGGGTGTTATGCAGGTTGTCCACACGTATTTCGAGAACGGTATCACCTTCACCAATCTGATTTACAGCGCTATTCGGTATACCGTCTCCAACGGTGATGCTGCTCCCTTCGTTGGTTACAACGCCATTCTTCGTTGGTCTGCCATCCAGCAAGTCTCGTACGAGGATGAAGATGGCTACGAGAAGTTCTGGTCCAAGAGTCACGTGTCGGAGGATTTCGACATGGCTCTACGATTGTAGTGTAACGATTACATTATCCGTCTTGCCGCGTGAGAAATACTTCTAATGACGAAGTTGGACAATTGAACACGTGTAAGGGAAAAGCAGTCTCGACGCGCGTGCTTTGAAGTTATTTGTTCAAAGCCGTTTAGTATCCGTTGGTTCCCAGCACTGCAGGTAGAGCCACAAGTGACAAATAGGCAGTTAACAGAAACTGTAAAAATGGGCAAGGTAAACAGATGGTGAATTACCACTAACACTCTGTCTCCGTCGCACCGCCCGAGCCATCGGGATCTTCAGCACTAAGACAATCAACCCGCTGACGCGGGATTCCATCTTGTACATCCATCAGCCCAACCACTTACTCCCTCACACCTCCATGTCCCCCGTCCTCCCTCTCCTCAGCGTCTCCATCCCCGTCCCCGTCCCCGACCTCCCGGTCTCCAGATGCAACCCACTCCAGGTCCTTCCGAGCCTCTGGCTCCTCTGGACTTCAAACCTCCTCGTCCTCACCAAATTCCACACAAACAACACCACCATGTACGTAAAAATCAGCACCATGGCACTAATCGGCCCCAAGATCGAAAACACCGCAAACCCATAACTCGCCCTCTTAAATGCCTCCTCTTCCCCAAGTGCGGTATCCAACCCGACCTGCATCCCCGACAGAACCACCACAATCCACGCCGTCCCGCCTATAACCCACGCGCCGTTTTGCACGACAAACTGCCTGTACGAAGTCCATATAGCCATGAACCCCAGCGACAAAGGCCCCCGCGTGAACATGTAAATGAGGTTAAGTCGGTTCAGTCGTAATTCGCCGTAGATGAACCGAATGGCGATGTTCTTGTATATCGCGTCTGGCGAGGCGAGCAGCTCGTCCACGAAGAGACGCCATTGATCCCAGGTTACTTCGCGCGGGAGGAGGCCCTTGACAGTGGCGAGATCAAAGTCGCTCTCCCTTTGCACCAGACCAACATAACTGAACAAAAACCCAAGCGCTGCTTGCCGGCTTTCGCATCGTTTGCATACCCCCGCGTCATCCTTCTTTTGTGCTTTGTCGTTTGCTTCCCGGTCTCTTTCCCGTTCCCCATCACTCAGCGCCACCACTGCTCCTCGACAGCCCCCCTCGCCTTTACATGTCAACTCCCTTGTCCAAAACTCCCTCGTAAACAAAAACTTGCTGACAGGCTTCAGAAACACCCTGCCTCCTCCCCATACTAAGTGTTGCTCGAGCTTTTCAGTCACTATCGGCTCCCGATTCATAAGCACTTGTTGGTGCAAAGGGTGGGGCGGTACCGGACGCCCGGCTAGCCAGAGCAGATGGCGAATGGAGTGTAGCCGGGAGAGGTCGAATTCGCGGGCGATAAAAGAGGGCGAAGGGCCTTTGTAAAGCGATTCGAGGTCGTCGATTGTTTCATGAGGGCGGATGTTGCGGTGCGAGGCTGGGAAGAAGTGTGTGTAGGATGTTGAGGAGGGAGGGTTGGTAGTGGAATGGATGGTGGAGTGCGTGGTAAAGGAGAGGGGAAAGAGGGCTGTTTGGAAAGGAGTTGATGATACCTGATAGGATGGACTGTTAGTGCTCGGCGAGGACATGGACGTCAAGTGGAAGTGAATGATGTGGATGGCAATTGGTAGGACGTACTGTTCTGTATGTCGTTTGGATTTGAGGTTTGGAACTGTCGGAGGATGTTATCCGGTTCGGACTTGATGGTGAGTTTTGGTCCATGTCCGGCTCAGGAGCTATCGCGTTTATGGTGATAATGATCGTGCTCGCGGCGTTGGTATTTCGTGCCGCTTCCCGTCTTCAGTCGGTGGTAGCTACGTCGATGTAGTTGCACTAGAACTCCAACTGCGCGGTTGATGCTTTTATAAAAGTAAGAAAATATATAGATAGAGCGTAATACGAAAAGAAAAATAAAAAGATCCCCTTCAAATACCCTCCATTACCCGCGCAACAGGACCTCCAGCCCATTAAAGTTTAATTCATTGCCTAAAGCCCATCGCGCTATCATTTCAGCTGTAGCAGCAGATGCCTCATAGGGCACAACCAATCCTCCAAGTCTCAAATCGCTAACCTACCGGCGCCGTTGGTAGGCCAACCAAAAGTGTACCTAACCGAGCTAGTCTCGATGGTCAGATACACCCAATCAAAGGCTCCAGCCTAGCACATAAGCAAAGTCAACACTTTGGGCACCAAACCCCTCATATCTAACCCCTCAGATCGAGATATCGACTTTTAACACCAAGCATTTGAGCCTCTGCCTACGAGAAGCGATCGGTATCAAACACTTCATCTACGCTATTAAACACAAAGGCCAAAGCAATATCCACTTGGGAGTAACCCCGCTAACGTTTGTCAAAGGGCAATACGCAATATCCGCCGTACGGGTATACTAGTACCATTCTCAGTTGTAGCCGTACAAGCTCCTCTCCTGGTAGCCGAACCTTGATTACCATGGACGTTAATGAAGGCATTTCTTTGGCGGTATGGACCACTGTCTTATGTCTTGTCTGTGCGACCGCCGCTTGGCTTTGGTTCTATGCGCCAGCGGGTTCCGGTACCGCACCGTCGTCTCTAGCGAAGCCTGCTTCAGATTATACACGATCCACGCAGCGAGGCGTCCATCTCAATCAAGTCAACAAGGACAATGGAGACACCGACATTGACATCATTGCTATCCATGGCCTCGATACAAAATCACCGGATACGTGGACATGGCGGGATCACAAGGATCCCAACGTCAGCGTCAATTGGCTAGCCGATTTGCTCCCGGTCGACGAAGGAAAGGCACGTATCTTTACATTGGACTGGCCTGCCGACCTACTTCAACCGTCAGATTTAGTCCCGAAGTTTGATGGCGAGATCGTTACGCTCCTAATTGATGGCATCAACAGAGAACTCTTGGCAAAGAATAAGACAAGAGACAGACCGATCCTCTTTATCGCTTCTTGTCTTGGGGGGATCATCTTAATGAGGGCTCTCACAACCGCCGCCGATCATGAATGCACCACGAGCTGTTATTGCCTCAGCAAAGCAACACGTGGCATTATCTTCCTCGCTACCCCGTTTCGAGGGACTTCGTTCGAAGATGTAGCGTTCTGGGCAGATCCAGGTCTGACCGCATGGGCATTCATCTACGGCCGAACAGTGAGCAAGCTACTCGACAGTGTGAAGGGTTCGACCTCTGATCTTGAAACACTCGTATCCGAATTCACACAATTGTGTCAGCATCCGAACTGGCCCTTTCTAGTATTCAACTTTTATGAACTTGGAAGGACGAGTTTGTGGCGCAAGTTATTCCCTTGGCTACCGGGTTTGTTCTTCAAAGGAAAACCGGTAAGAATCCTAAAGTACCACCGTCTCCCGTACTATAACTAACGCTTGCCAGCTAGTTGATAGTTCCTCAGCAAGACTAGACATTGTTCGAAATCCATTACCACTCAGTCGGCCCCATGTTCTGATGAATAAGTTCGACAGCAATAAATGCGCTGATTACAAGCTTGTTGCTGGAAAAATTGAAGAATTTGTTGAGAAGATCCGTAATGGAACGCCTCTCAAGCAAGCAGATGCTTGGATACATGAGAAAGTCTATACGAAGAAAAGGCTTAACATTGAACGGCTCTCAGGCAAGTCACTGTCGATGGATCAGTGTTACATCAACCTTTCCATTATAGAGTGGACTGGCGAAAACAAAGACCGTTCGGAAAAGCAAACAAAAACGGAGTTGACGTCGCGATATTCCCCGTTTTCACTCAACACTCGATTGAAAGTGGAAACGCCAAATGCAACAATTCAAGTCGACTTACCATCGCTCTTCAAGGAACGCGAAGAACCTGACGGTCGCAAGATAGGTCGCAAGATACAACCAAGACGAATATTGATTCGAGGACGCGCTGGAGTAGGGAAGACTACTCTGTGTAAGAAGATTGTCTATTCATTCATGCATGGCGAATTGCCCAAATGGACTGAATTATTCGACCGCGTACTCTGGGTACCTCTACGGAATCTGAAGCTGGAAGACAGACGCCGGGCTGATTACCGCTTTACCGACCTCTTTATTCATGAATATTTCTCCATGTCGAATTGCAGAGAGGACCTTGCCCAAGCATTATACAACACATTGCTCGATACACCGGAGAAGAGGAGCAGGACTTTATTTCTCCTTGATGGCCTAGATGAGGTATCGCAAGGCTTGAGCGAAGGCGGTATGTCTAGCTTCCTTGATGTGTTGCTAGATCAGCCGAACGTCATCATCACCTCCCGGCCGTACGGCAAGCCTCTGGCTGGCCTGCATCTCGAATTGGAAACGATCGGGTTCTATCCAAACCAAGTGGAGGCTTATATCAACAAGGTTTTCACCGAATACTCAGACACAGCTGTCCGCGTTCAGTCATTCCTAAAAGCTCGCAGCCTTCTCCAAGGCCTTATGCGGATCCCAATCCAGCTAGATGCGCTTTGTTTCGCCTGGAACGGAAGTATTAATTCCAGCTCGGAACTTAACACCATGACGGATGTTTACCAAGCCATCGATCAAAGTCTATGGAAGAAGGATATCCTACGGTTAGGAAAGAAGCACGACAACGAGCTAGTGGAAGCAGCTTACATTCAAGAGTCTGGTTGGACCGAAATTGAAAATCTCGTTTCAACCGAGATTTTGTTTCTAGAGATCCTTGCTTTTACTGGGTTGCAAAATGATACAATTGAATTCGACTCAACACATCTCGGCCAAATATTGCACCACTTTGACGACATCTTACCCGGTTTCTTACCCAGTAAGACCATGCCGCACCTCTCCTTTCTCCGAACATCAGATTTGATGGAAACCAGCCACCGAACCTATCACTTTCTACATCTGACCTACCAAGAGTACTTTGCGGCTAGGTATTTTGTACGGCAATGGAAGGCTAACAAGCGCCTCAAATGCCTAGCACTCAATGGTCAGAAGAATGAAAATCCTACTCCCATCGAGGCTATCCAGTTTCTTGGCGAGAACAAATACACAGCCCGTTACGACATCCTATGGCGCTTTGTTGCCGGCTTGCTTAATGCCGAGGGCAAGGCAGAGAAGTTCTTCCAAGCGATCGAGGACGAACCGCATGATTTGTTAGGTCCTACGCACCAACGGCTGGTTATGCATTGTTTGAGCGAAGTGTCGACGGAGATGTCACTGCGAAAGAGGCTGGAAGTCAAGCTAAAAGAGTGGCTACTCTTTGAATACAAATTCACAGGCAAAACACGTCTAGCAAGCGAGGTGGAATTTCCAGAATCAGCTTTATTGGACACCCTGCAGGAAGTAGGGATCTATGAAAAGATCAGAATTTTGAAGTGGGTAGCAACACGACCAATGATCCCGCCACCCATCGTCATTCTGGTTACTTCTTGGCTAGAAGACGGCGAATTTATAACCGGGAAAAAGGATATCTTACTTGCGTTGCAAGCCCAGTCCAGCTTATCCGACAAGCTCCTTACGGCTGCAGTAGCATGTCTAGAAGACGAGGACTGGAGTGTTAGAAAGGCTGCCTTAGGTGTCTTGCAAGCCCAGTCCAGCTTATCCGACGAGCGCCTTACGGCTGCAGTAGCATGTCTAGGAGACAAGAATGGGGATGTTAGAGAGGTTGCCTTAGGTGTCTTGCAAGCCCAGTCTAGCTTATCCGACGAGCTCCTTACGGCTGTAGTAGCATGTCTAGAAGACGAGGACTGGATTGTTAGAGAGGATGCCTTAGGTGTCTTGCAAGCTCAGTCCAGTTTATCCGACGAGCTCCTTACGGCTGTAGTAGCACGCCTAGAAGACGAGGACTGGAGTGTTAGAAAGGCTGCCTTAGGTGTCTTGCAAGCCCAGTCCAGCTTATCCGACGAGCTCCTTACGGCTGTAGTAGCACGTCTAGAAGACGAGGACTGGAGTGTTAGATGGGCTGCCTTAGATATCTTACAAGCCCAATCTAACTTATCCGACGAGCTCCTTACGGCTGTAGTAGCACGTCTAGAAGACGAGGACTGGAGTGTTAGATGGGCTGCCTTAGATATCTTGCAAGCCCAATCTAACTTATCCGACGAGCGCCTTACGGCTGTAGTAGCACGTCTAGAAGACGAGGACTGGAGTGTTAGAAAGGCTGCCTTACGTGTCTTGCAAGCCCAGTCCAGCTTATCCGACGAGCTCCTTACGGCTGCAGTAGCACGTCTAGAAGACAATAACTGGGATGTTAGAAAGGCTACCTTAGGTGTCTTGCAAGCTCAGTCCAGTTTATCTGACGACCTTCTTAATGGGCCGTTTGTTGAACCATTATTCAAATTTCTCTTGCGAGGTAGCTTTGATGAGCAGTGGAGTTGGTATGTTATAAAGGAGAGATCTTACGTTAACATGCCAGAATGGGTCGGAATTACTAGCATTGATGATGGAAAGGAGTTTATGAACATGGTGACGAGAGCAAGGCAAGGGATTCTATCTACGGGTGTGACGAACGGCAGGTCTGATCTCCCTAAAGGGGATAGCTGAAGGTAAAGACTATCAGGTGCTGTTCGGTATAGCCAAAAGGTATAAAATGAGTATCGCTTGCGAATTATAGATACTATTCTCGGTGGTGAACAACCTTTATTGCTTACTGCAGAATTATCTGGCTAGCTGGGTCTTCTTGTCCTTTCAATAGCTGTGAAGCCTTTTGGTGGTCCCAATACAATTACCAGTATACGTTGTACGTACTTGTTACGTGCCTTGGTAGGATATACTAGTGCTCTTATTCCCAGCTAGGCATACACTCCCACTTTCCTCCCCTTGTGCAACTACACACATTACAAGCCATACCAGGTCGGCGTTAAACCAGTGTCAGGCACGGTGGTGGCTTGGCCACGCCGTCACAGTCGTATTCTAGTAACACCATGTCGCTCGGCTGGTACTTTGGGGGTGTCCAAACGCCTGGTGTTTGCGCCCGCCTCGTACCAGTGCTTCGCTTGCTTCGCCATGATGATAACTCAGTCAAAGATTTCTCTGAAGCGATCTGCGATATCATTTGCCTTTCTAAATTTACGTCTCTGTTGGGGCGAAATATCTAGTGAACAAGTCTTTGGTGGCTCCACGCCCATTCGTGGGTATCATAGGCTTAGTGCTTTGAGTTGATGTCTGGCAGGTTGCCAGACTGACAATGGTCATATTGCATTAACTCCCCCGATAGTTCGTGCACCGAAACGATGTATGAGCGGGCACTAGAAGGCTACGAGAAGGCGCTCGGACCGGATCATACGTCGACTCTCGATATAGTTAACAGCTTGGGCCTTCTCTACTCGGATCAGGGCCGGCTAAAGGAGGCTGAAACGATGTATCAGCGGGCGCTGTCTGGTTATTCAGCAGCCTTAGGCTCGTCCCACGCGAAATCTCTCCAGGTTATAAAAAATATAGCATCTTTACAACTTGCAAAAGGTAGCCTCTCCCTGTAAGAACTAATAGTTAAGTTTGCTAACATTTACAATTAGGTTCATCAGCCGCGACTAAGACGTCGTTGTGGAGGAGGCGCTCAAAAATTTGGAATAACTTACGAGATAAGATACGTAGAACCTCTACGAGAACTACGCCATCTGAATCGACGGAAGGCTGAACATAAAGTTGGAAATTGCGGTGTGGTAAGGTGACTTAGCTGTTACGCAATGTAGTGAGTTTACAAGTTCCTGCAACAAGTAGCCAGGGATCTGTTTCGGATTTGTGAAGGTTGACGATGAGGCAGCCAGGATAATGTATGCCTAGCCCACTTCATGGCCTCAGCTGGGCTTGGCGAGAGCGAAGGTGATGAAAACGTTTCGAGAAACGGCGGCGTTTTTGCCCGAGTCATCCAAACCCCTGTAAAAAACTACTCTCATAGATAATGTTCCGATTGGTAGCTTATCTATGGGAGAGCGGACGGGATCCCGAGTTTTCTACCATCTATGGTCGTATGTGCTGATTTGACTCCCAGACTCTGCCTATATTGTGCTTGCTTCTCAGTGAGGGCTCTGTTGCGGTGGTTGTAGGAGGGCCGCGACACTGCATGAAAGCATCAATCCTCCGGTCTTGGCACTTGAAGTAAAATTCGGATGTCAACAACTTCCAAGGATGGGAAAACATGAAGTGGGAAATCGCATGAAAAGTCAATCCCACCGACGGTCGAGCAAAATCAAAGTCACAATCGGGATGGACATCCGACACCTGGTTGGCTTCCAAGTTTCACACCCATGCTAAGATCACACCGTCTTTGGCAAAAATTTCCAAAATTGAATCTCGATCTCTGCTGGGGGGTCTGCACTCTGCTCAATGCGCCGCCTTTTTCTGTCTTGTGATAACCTCATGGGAAGAAAGTCCGACAAACGCAAACAATTTTGCGGAAAGCTGGAAGAAAGCACATTGTACCTATCAAGAAAAACTATCAACACCTTGGCAACGCCCACAACAACGCCTCAAGCTGTCGTTTCCCCTCCCCCACAACTATTGTTTGCTTGCTTCCAGAAGGGCAGCGTGGGCAGTGACGGTGGCACCTTGGGTCCGGGAAACCACAAGTTGTTTGGTTTCTGGTTCATGCTTCCCCCGCCGACCGAGCGCCGACCTACCAAATCGGGCACTCCCTGCAAGGGGAGGGGAGGGGAGGGAGGTTGATGTGATGTGAAGCATCTTTCCACGTGCGCGGCATGTAGGGGAGGTCAATCAGGAATGTCAATGCGAATGGCAAGTACCGAAATCGTCGCATGTTGATCGGTGTACCGCGTACTTGGGTAATACTTGGGCAGGCCGACCACCACACTTTTAACTGACATGACTTGAACTCCACGATTCCCAAACCCAATCAAATGAAATTGGGTTTGATAGTGTCATGATGGAGACCAGTTCCATGGTTATTACACGTGCGGCATCGAGATTCCTGTCCCCGACCCAAGCTGGAGATCAACCCCATCCCAGGTGACATGTGTTGATTGAGAGCTTCTGGAAGGGATAGAAACAGAACAGACAAGACAAGACAATGGACACCTGTCAGACGAACGGTCAACGGCCCGGTCCAGTCGAATCAGGAGCGGACGTCATTTCCGTTGGCGTACCCCTGACGATCAGGCGCAAGAGAGAAAAGGGAAAGCTGTTAAGGCACCCTGCACCCCTGGAAAGTCTTGGCTCATTGAAGCGCAACTTGGACAGTTCTCAATACATACATCAAACACGAAACCCCCCGGGCTTTATCGAAGATGCTGCCTTATCATCCCAATCTCAATCAGTGTTGTACACCATCTTTGTCGTATCGGTTGTACACACATGCAATTTGCGACATGTTCGGCTGGTTGCGCGCGGGGTTTGGGCTGCGCGACATCAAAAGCTCGTGTACAAAACCTTTGAGGATAAAATGATAGACTGGACGGGAGGGAGTCGGAGCGGGAGAGCTTCGGGAGAGGTTCAATATGGAGAATGTGCCAGCGGACGGATTGCTACCGTACTCTACCGTAACCGGCGCTACGGACTATTTTCCGCTGGTCTACTGGTCCCGTCCCAAACATTTGATGACATTGGATCCGGTTCCATTTCTATTCTCGGACGGTGATGATGGTCATGGTTAGTGGAATGGAAGCTCACCAACCGCTTCTAGTGCCAGTGTACAGAATAAATACAGATGACCAAACCCCTGGCCAAGACGCTAGGGGAAAAAGCGAACAGCCCCCCGTTTGGCCCCATCGGCTCGCTCCATTCTGACGCTCCACCCACGCGACGTTCATTCGACGGCCAGTTCCCAAATACCTCACGACGCCTGCCTTCTTTTCTTCCTTTTCATCTCTTTGCCTCTTTTGCTTTCGTCTCCCGCTTCCCTTTCCCATCCCTGTCGCCCGCAAGGTTGTTGGTTGACGGATAGCAGCCTGCCTGTTTATCGTCCGACTTTCTCTCCTGTCACTCTTTCACAACAGCAACAGCCATTCGACAACAACCCTATTCGGGATCTGATCACTCGTTTTTTTCTCCCTCTCTTTTTAATACTCCTTACTCTGTCGCCAATTGGCTGCTCCAATTCGACATCCCAATCAAGATCGAATCTTGCCGACGACCGTCCCTGCGACACCACACCACGTTCATTTTACACTCCCGCGCCCGGATCGCGCAACGACGCCGAGAAGCTTGAAAACACTCGCTCGTAGTCATTTGGATATTCAGTCAGCGCCCCTAGAGGACAGAAACATCGACAGCCGGGACCAAGTCGCCAGACCTCAACTCTGTTAATACTATATCCTACACGCTCTGTTTCTCCGTCGACATGGGCTTTTTATAGACAATCCTTTTTGATCAACAACGACGTTCTTTTCCACCACCTGGTGTTTCACCTACCCAGGAACAGGTGATCTTACATTGTCATCATAGCAGCTGGGTTGGTGATAGCTTTTCCTCTTGCCGGCTGATCGGTCGTCAATTCTAATCCTTTTCGCGCAGTAATGTGTTTCTTGTAAACCTTAAATCATTCGTTGATCCAGTCATTCGTTTATCTTCAAAATGGTATCGCTTTTCGGTATCAAGTTCGGCGACAAGAAAAAGGGGTACGCATCTTTCCCACGCCACCATTCCAGTGAGCCCCCTTACGGGCCACAACGATACTGATGGCGCAAACAGGAAGCCCGCGGCGGGGGACAACAGCTATGCGGATTCTGAGAAATCGGCATCCCTGAAACGAGCCATCACCAACGAAAGCAGCGATGCAGCGACATCCCCGATTCTTCCTCCGCCTGGGACCGCTCCCTATGCGCACGGCATCGGCGCCCAAAACCAGGCCACTTCGAGCATGTCCAACCTCGCCGACCCGTATAGCAACAACGCTTCCGGCGTCAAACACTATGCCTCGGATGCGAACCTACGGGCCAAGTTCGGCGCCATGAATGGGTCTTCGGCAAGCTTGGCACACGGCCCGGGTCCGGTTCTGTCGCCGCGCCCCCAAACTGCAAACGCCAAGAGCAAACCGTGGGACAGTTCTGACCTTCCCGATATCCCCACCATAAAGAAGGCCTCTACCGCACCTATTGCGCCCAAGTCCCCTTTGAGTCAGGTTGCCACGGATTTTCCAGCGATTCCCATGGACACCAACGTTCTTCACTCGCCAATGAAGGAGAAGTTGGAGGCGACTGTGAGACTGGTTCAGTCGGACGAAGATGCGGAGGACGTGCAAGGGGCGATTTCGAAAGACCAGCAAGTTCTCGAGCGAAACGTTGGGGAGGAAAAGATTTCGGACGAGATGTCGCCCACTGAGCCTTTGGCGAGACCTCACTATATGTCTCTGCTAGACCCCCTCCATGGGCCAGGCCCGGTTCTGAAGAATATCGACGAGAGACCTAGTAGCCGGGGCGGCATGCAGGATGGACCGGGCCCAGTGTTCAGAGGGAACATCGATGAAAGACCAGGTAGCCGAGGAGGAATGCATGGCGGGCCTGGTGGCCCTGGTGGTCCGGTGTTTCGAGGTAACATCGACCAAAGACCGGGAAGTCGTGGTGGGATGCACGATGGACCCGGTGGTCCCGCACCAATCTTTCGTGGTAACATTGATCAGAGACCCGGTAGCCGAGGTGGAATGCCTATAAATGGCCCCAACGGTCCTAACGGCCCGCCCCGCCCCTTCCCGACCCATGGTCATGGTCCTCCTCGCCATGGACCACCCACTCATGGCCTTCCACACCCACCCGGACCTCGCACAGGAGCTCCAGGACCCCGCGGACCCGGTCCCCAAGGCCCTCCCCACCCAGGCCCCCATCCGGGTCCTCACCCAGGACCTCCGCGCCAAGGCCCGCCTTACCGAGGACCGATGCCGCATCAGGGGCCTCCTCACCCGGGCACACCCAACCGAGGACCACCACGCCAGGGACCGCCTCCCCATGGTATTTCGCCTCAGGGCACTCCCCGCCAAGGGTCTCCTCACCAGGGACCTCCTCGGCATGGATCTCCCCATGGCACTCCTTATCGTGGAACTCCCCCTCCTCATGGGCCTCCACGCGGGCCTCTTCCCCATGGGCCTCACCAGTCTGGCCCTCACCCTGGGCCTCATGGTGCCCCACATGGACCCCCTCATGGACCTCCTGGCCCTCTGCGTCCTGGTCTTCGCGGCCCCCCTACTCAAGGATCTCCCCATCAAGGACCTCCGCGTCAGGGACCTCAACCCCAAGGCCCTCCGCATGGCGGCCCTACACCGCTTTCTGCGCCTAACAAGCCGCTTCCTCAGCAGCCGGGTGGACCTACACCTCTTACTGCGCCCAATAAGCCACTTCCTCAACAACCAGGCGTAAATGCTCGTGGTCCTCTGCCACACGGACATGCTACTTTGGGGAACCTCCCACGCCTGCAGATTCCTGGTTCGGATAGCCGTCCTCAAAGCCCCGCTATGAAGACTCTTAGCCCAGCCAAACCTAGCAAGGAGGAAGAAGCAAGTCCGAGAACTGTTTCCAAGCCGGATGTAGCTCAGTCACCAAAGAGTGTCTCCGAGGCCGAAACCAGGAGCAACTCGCCATCGCCTCCAGAATCCATCGCAGAACACCTGCTTGACGACGATGATTCGATTTTCTCCAGGCCGATTATCAAGACCCTCGGAGCGAGACGTGACACACTGACTATCATCTCCCCTCGAAGACAAAGTCTTTCGATGAAGATCGAAGCACTGGAGCGGAGCCTCATCGGTGCCCAGAAAGGCCGAAGCCTCGACGACCAGCAACGCAGCTTTGACGACAAGAGCCTTAGCTCCGCCAGCAGCATTTACAGCCAGTTACATTTGTCGGAGGACGAAGACGACGACGGACCGATTTTATCATCGATCCAACCTGCGCCGCTGCGTACTCCAACAAAAACCAGCGCCACTAACCCGATGATCGCCGACATGTTTTCCGAGTCACCGACAGCAGAAGACCCGCCAACTCCGATTGCCAAGGACGATCCCGAAACGCCCATCATCACGTCCCATCCCGGATCATTCAGCAGTGCGGGCGGTAGCGGCTATGGAATGTCAACCCCAAGGAGAGGAGGACCACCGGCAGCAGCTTTCAGGACTCGTCGTCCTGCTCTCGAAGAGTACAGTCTGTTCAGCGGTCGATCGACACCCGTTTCTCGCCCAGGACGATCAGGCACAGCATCCACAACCGGCGGCAGCGTGAGCTCTCCGTACCCGGGCACCGCCGACAGTAGCACCTTCAACTCGCCCCTGCGATCCAACACACCGCAGCTCTGCCATCCCCCTCCGCGACGTGACATCAACCCGCCGACGCCGGCTCTGACTCCCGACCCGGAACCGTATCGACCAGCCGTCAGCCCGCTCGCCAACGCCGGCTTCAACTTCGATTTCGGCCCTACCGCCCCGTCCGTCACCACCACGGGCCCTCCAACGCCCGACTCCATGATCGGTCCCGGCCCCGCCATCATCTCGCCCTTGAAGCCCGCCCCCCGCAACTCGACCCTCAACAGGCCCCACATACCCGCGCCGCTCAACTTCAACTTCAATCCCGACGCCGACTCGCGTAGCACCACCACCCCGCCTTCGCAGCACGACCAAACCCAAAAATCCCCTTACACCCCGCCACTCCGCAGGGCCACCACGCCCGCAATCGACGGTACGTTCGACGGACTTTACGAAGACGGCACAGGCACAGACATAGGCACGAGACCCTCGACCGCATTGGGCGCGCATAGACCACCGCCCATGACGCCCATCTTTGGGCAGCATCCGCCCCGGGCTCCGAGCCGGGCACAGACGCCTATGCTTGGTGGTGCAGACGATGCAGCGGACCCTGAGGAAGTAGCGAGGGTGTTGGGCATTGGAGTGGCGAGGGGGTTGAGCGTTAAGCAGCCGAAGCAGAGGGCGCCGGAACGGCCGCCGGTGCCGAATCCGACGCTGGTGGATAGGTTTGGGAATGGGATGTTTTAGTTGGGGTGGGGTTGGTGCTGGTGCTGGTGCTGTACAGATTGAGTGTGTGGGCTTGTGGGATAGAAGGGTTCTGTGTGCGGTGTTTGGATGGTGCAACTGTAACTGGTTTTTCGCTTCTTGTACAAATTTACCTTGTCATTTGATTGAGGAAGAATGTGGAAGAGGAGGGGAACTTGGAAGGTTCGAGAGGGAGGGGGGAGAGGGGAGGGGAGAGAGAAAGCTGTACATTTGCATATTTGTTCGCGTCATCGTTTCGGTCAGCAACTTGGATACTTGTTAGAATGGCGGGGAGTGGGATTTACTAGAAAGGAAGGTTTTGGTTTATTGGAATATCGGCACATCAACATGTAGCGTCAACTGTATACATATTACATCTTAGAAAATTTTCATAATTGCATAGTACGTTTCGTTTTGGGCATGCACGTCTCTTGTTTTATCATTTTGTGAAGCACAGTCCATGACCATGATCCAAGCTTAGAGGTTGGCCACGTCGCCACCATCAAAAGCTTGGAGGAGGAGCAGGAGAAGGTCCTGCCTGCTGTGCCGTTGAATGCGCGAGTGGCCAAGGTCTCCGTATCATTGTGCCCACTGTGTCCGGTGCCCTCACTTTCTGGCACTGCCAAGGGCTTTGAGGATGCAAGGCAAGATGAAGCCCGGACCACGCCCTTCGTGATGGTCGTCTTGTCTTCCGCCGCAGCACCAGCATCGGATTTCCGGCTTTGATATGCGGCGGGCATACCTAGGGGCATCAAACTTGACCACATACCTTATCGCCCGCCTACAGCACATGCCCGCAATGATTCTTGCTGATGGTGCCATTTTGCCTGCTGTCGTCTCAGTCAGTCAAGTTCATGTCCGTAGATTCAAGTTGATGTCCGTTAGCTGTACTGATAACACCGGCAGATCCGGACCTCCGGGCTTCGTCATCTACCTCCCGCATGGGACATGCAGCTTCAAGACTACTTGTCCTTTGAGTGAAGCATGGTGGCCTTGTCCATCTCGTACCATTTTCCAGTTGCCTATAAATTTCCCGGGCCTGCCCATTAGAATAGGCTCTTGACTTCTGTTCTCCCAATTTTAACCAGACTTTCGTCCATCTGACCTCGTCCATCTGACAGCCATTTCCAGCTATACGTTTCCCTTGAATCCTCCTCCATCAAGCTCTTGACTTCTGTTTCCCCATTTCAAACCAGGCTTCCATAATCTTCTCGCTTTTCGTCTACGGCCAATTCAACCCACTCTCATTCATTCCCTCTATGTCATTTAGCGCCTTTGGCTTCCCGCCCAGCATGACAACCATGACCGGAAATACCGTCCTGAAGTGGTGGGCCACGGACATCCCTATACTGGCGGTTGGTATCCCCCATGAGGAGTTCATAACCAACTACTGCCCGCATGCACGACCACAGGGGATTGGCCGTCTCGATGGACATAGATTGGTGATTAACCGTCGTGGAGACTTGGCTGTTACCAAAGTCAAGAGGCGCCGCCCTTCCTCCACCCGTACGACCCGTACGACGACCCATACGACGACCCATACGACGACCCCTACGGCGGCGGCGGCACAGCCCACCGAGGATACTACAAGCCCGTGGTCCGCAGCGCTGGAATCTCAGTCTCTGCCCAAGGACCCGACCACCAATGATAACAACACCTACCCGACCACCAACACCACCACCAACAGCCCTACCGTCAGACCTTGCACCAAAAGACCTCCCACCCCTCGACAACGGTCTTTCCCTTTTCAAGCACCTGGTGCCTGGCCCGAGTCGAATCTTACTCCAACTCCCGCTCCGAATCCCGCTCCAACTCCCACTCCGAATCCCGCTCCGGATCCCGCTCCGAGTCCCGCTCCCATTCCCGATACCGACCTGAGCAACTCGGCCACCTCCGCCACCTCCTCCGCCTCCTCCTCAACCATCGTCTCTGGCTCCCATGGCCCATGGGCCCAAAACCAAAACCAAAACCAAAATGTCGACAACGACCCCCACCACCAAGTCTGGGGCATAGTCTACCTCCTCACCCGCACCCAATACGACCGTTTTCAACGCCAACACCTTTCCCCCCCACAACCCCAACCGCAGCACCTACGACCTCGTCAACCTCGTCAACCACGACTCCGTCTGCCTCGTCAATTCGGTATACCAATGATCTTCACCCGCCAGAACCAGAACGAAGCCCAACCCTCCCGGGTCACCCGAACCCTCCCCGAGGTCCAAGTGCACTTCTTCCAGCATGACCTCCTCCGGCAATCAGCCGCACGACAACATGTCTTTCCGGAAACAGCGGGAGATGCGGTGCAGAGGCATTTGAGCGAGGTGAGAGATTTGAGGTTGGTGAGGGTTTTGATTCGTCGTAATGGGGCTGGTGCTGGTGATGATGATGCTGTAGCTGAGGCTGTCTCTGATGCTGTTGCTGGTGGTGGTTATGCAGAAGGAAGGGAAGGAGTTGAAACCGAGCTAACCTGGCGGGAACAAGGGGAAAAGGAGAGGAGAGAAGAGATGGTCAGCGGGTTAGCCAGGTGGTCAAAAGATTTGGTGAGGCGAGGGGTTCCGACGAATTGGGTGAGGGAGGTGGTGGTGGGGTTGGCTGGGAGGGTTGAGAGGGGGGCGGTTGATGTCAACGGGGAGGAAGAGGAATTGGAGGTAGTAACCTCAAGGGTTGACGACGAGGAAGAGGGGGTGGACGAAGGGGCAGTGGAGGGTCAAATAATCGAAGCTATGGATTCTTTCGCGAGAAATATATGGGGCGCGTCGAGAGGGGTTTTGGGTATGGCGAGGAGGGGAGTCGGAGAGTTGCTTGCCCAATTTAGGGGCGAGGGGGAGGGGGAGGAGGAGGAATGGGACTTGGTGGAATTTCCAGATCAGCGCGGACGGGGGAGGTGGAGGTGACGGGAAGGGGAAGGGTTTGAGAGTGTTTTGTGTTCCTTCATTTTGGTTCTGACGCTGTACAGTCCAATACTGGTTTGTTTGTTCGCTCAAGACCTGGGATCAACTTCCCTAGGTGTTTTTATATCTAATTGATCCGTTTCGTTCCATAACCAAGGCGTGATCTTACCTTGCATATGCTATTTTGGAAATTTGATATGCCATATTGAATCTTGTTGATGCCTTTCCGACCCGTACCTAGAGGTTTGGGACATTTCGGGATAGATCTCGTCCAGTATACCAGGAGTACCAAGCTAACAAATAAACCAGTACTAGATTGTATATCGCGGGAATACGAACGGATATGACGGGACGCTGAATGTGTATGTCAATCTTGGATAGTAATTGAAGCGAAGGCGTTGGGAAAGACGTCGTTACCACCTCTTGATTCGTGTGTTTGGTTATGTGAAACCTTCCAGAATGCTTGTCGTGAATGTAATCAAGGGAAGGTGGTGGTACCCGTGTCAATCGGTAGACGTCGGCGACAAGGCGGCTTACGTAGTGAAAAGTGGCGACGACAACGGGACGGCACGGGGTTCGGTTGAAGTCGGTGGCCGTGCGCCTTCCACGCGGCAACCCCGCGGAACCCCGCGATGACGGCCAAACATTCCCCGCCCGCTCGTCCAGTTCCAGAAGCCATGATCCCCGTCAGGGCCGGGAGCCTCAGCTCCAGTGGGTCGTTCCAGTGGTTGTGGGGCCGGAGCCCGGTCTAGAAAACTCTTTTCAGAAGCTTAATCCGTTGTCCAGCTCCTCTTTCTCCGGCTCCTCTTCCCCCAACAGGACCAACCGTCGGCCGCAGAGGAGGAAAAAGGCGAAAAAGGTCGCCGATCTGTCGGTAACAAAAAACGTGTCTCTTACGCCTGGCCACCTGCAAATCGGGAGTGCCCGATTTTTTCAATATCTTGCTGCATGATGGGCGGAGTCTACACCTGTTTGGCCCATGGCTGGGCCAAGGGGTGTGAAGGCGTTTCTAGCCCACACGAGTAGCCCTACAAATCCTGCACGCTGTCTGCAGAGCTGAGTATATCAACCACTCTTTCCCCCATCACACTTTCCCTTTTCCCTTTTCACGGTCTTCCATCGCCCACCTTTTCCCCCACCTTTCTTCCCCTATCGTAGCTATTACCATAGGAAAAGAAAGACGGTTTTCGCTCATCTTTATCACCTCTCTCTTCCCTGTTTGACCTCTAGTGACAACATTCGCGCGCGACTCGTTGGTCACCTGGGTTGACCAACTCGGATCAGACTCTCACAACACGAGATCGGCGTCTTCCAACTCCCTTCTCACCAACTCGGCACAGAACGAGGCCTACATGTGCCGAGTCATACACCAGCAATAAATTTAAGAGCAGGCGCCTTCAAGTCTTTGCGCTTGCTCCAAAGACGTAAGAAAGACTTGAGCGAGTGATTTTCAATTGTCTTTTACACAAAAGAAACGACGACTCGTCTTAACTACAAACCTTTATACCTACAGAAAAGATCCTCACCACTCCTGTTGTTGGAGCGAAGGAACTGGTACCTAACGGTAGACGTATACCTCTGAACCTCAGATTGACCTCTTGCTATACAAGCGGTCAAGAGAAGTTCACGAACAGCTTTTCACAAGTATTGTTATCACCAAGTAACAATATCGTCACAAGTGACTTTGGAACTTCAGATCCACCAGCTCACCACCCACCCCGTTGCCCAAAATGGCCAACGCCACCAACCCCTCCAGCTATTACGAGCCGGAGATGACCCAAGTCAAAAACTACGGCACCACCACCCTCGTCACCGCCGAGCACACCACCTCCAACACCAGCGGCGCCGACGCTGCTCCCAACAATGCCATCCTCAACAACATCGACGAACCCGACCTCGTCGCCCTCGGCATCCAAAAGCTCGAAGCGCAAAACGTGCACTGGTACTCGTACCTTTTGACCTACGACTTCTGGGTGGTCGTCCTCATCGGGCAAATCCTCTCTCTCTGCATCACGGCAACCAACACCTTCTCCTCTTTCCTCAGCATACAGGGTACTTCGATCCCCGCCATCCAAACCATCTTCGTCTACGCCCTAATCTTCCTCGTCTACTTCCCGACTGCGCTCTACAAAACCGGCGGGCCCAAAAACTTCTTCAAGCAAACCTGGCGTCACATCTGGAAGTACATCATCCTGTCCTTCCTCGACGTCGAGGGAAACTATTTCACCGTCCTAGCCTACCGCTACACCAATCTTTTGTCCGCCCAACTCCTCAACTTCTGGTCCATCGTCTGCGTCGTCGTCATCTCCTTTGCCTTACTCAAAGTGCGCTACAAATGGTTTCAGATCGGCGGCATCCTGATCTGCTGCGGCGGCATGGGCATCCTGTTAGCCTCGGACCACATCACCGGTTCCAACGGTGGTCCGGGGGTGAACATGCTCAAGGGCGACCTTTTTGGTTTACTGGGCGCCACCCTGTACGGCGTCTCCAACGTCTACGAAGAGTGGTTCGTTTCCAAACGGCCCGTCTACGAAGTTTTGAGTTTCCTGGGCTTTTTCGGCGTCATTATCAACGGCGTGCAGGCAGCTATTTTCGACCGACAGGCTGCTACGGACGCTACTTGGAACGGGCCCGTCGCCGGCTGGCTCGTGGGCTACACCTTCGCCATGCTGATCTTCTACTCCCTTGCTCCCCTCATCCTGAGGATGGGTAGCGCGGCGTTCTTTGATATTTCCCTCCTGACAGCCAACTTCTGGGGCGTGATTGTGGGTGTCAAGGTGTTTGGGTACGTGATCCACTTCATGTACCCGATTGCTTTTGTGTGTATCATTATTGGGTTGGTGGTGTATTTCCTGGCGGGAAGCGTGTTGGGAGATAGCAAAAAGCCGTGGCTGGGGGCGGATCAGAGTGAGGGCGTGGCGGGTATGGGGACGGCCAAGTTGAAGGCGTTGAATGCGGCGAGACAGCAGGCTTTGGCTGATGGTGAGGCTGGGGCGAGGGTTTGAGTGGGTGTTTGGGGTGCGTGTGTGTGTGAGGGAAAGGGAATGGAGATGAGGATGAGGGAGGAGTGACCGTGTTGGATCTCGGCGGGAGCTATGGTTGTTGTTGTTAGGGGAAGAAGGTGGATGAAGAGAGCTTTTGGCAAGGGGTGGTCTTGATAACATCTTGTCAGAGAAAGCTGAGTTGATGGGACAAGAGGGGGGAGTTTGGATGACCCAACAGAGTCGATGACAGAATGGTGCTTAAAACCCATTCATTTCATGTCAAGCAGAACTGGAGGCATCCCTCCCCTGGAATATGGTAATGGTACAAAAAGGGGGTTGGATAAGGAAGGAGGAGGTAATACCTAGGTGAAAGAGTCCAAGATGGATATCAGATTGGAACAAACAACAAATCCGACCTGTTGACTAGCGAGTTCCTGTCCGACCTGTCTGTAACTGTGATTAGCCGTCGTAGTGTGACGCAACGCCGCCGTTAAAGCCATGGTTCATGCCGCATTTTGTTTACCTTGGGAATCTCACATTCACAGAGACTTCACCATTCTTCAACTGTGCTTTGGTGTGTACGACCGAGTCCTTTTAAGCCTGGGTGTATGGATGGTATAGGGGCAGCATGGCCAGGGGATGCACAGGGCAACATGGCATAACGTTGATGTATCTATTTATACTTTCCCATTCGTTTTCATAAGAGAACGTTGTTCATCAACTTGCCTCTCGTAGTCCTCGAAACGAAACGGAACAGATATCCCCAAGGATTAGTTCGACAGACGCCTATGGTAAGATAATATTACATGCAAACCAAAGCCTCCATTCTCTACATATTGCTTCTTGACTATTGGCCTCTTCTCATTCGAGCCCGCTCCCTCGGTTTCAAGTGTCTATATCGCCTGACCAATTCAAGCATCATTCACTTTATTCAGCCAACATCGATTCGCACCGTTATCAGACACAAGTGAGATCACAAGGGGACCGTTCTTGAACGCCGAAATCAAATAAATGCCAATGCAAAAGCCGCAAGATGTACTAGCTGTAGTATAAACCACCAAAAGTAAGACCAAAACAAAACACAAACAGCCCAACAAGCTTTCCGCCAATTCCTGTTTTTATACGTTCGGACCACCTCTTTGCAAACCAACAAACCCATAAAGAAAAAAGACATCCCGTTTCCTACACAACGCGCCGCCACCAGTTCAATCCGCCAGTCTTCTGTAACAATTAAGAACCGCTTCCGTGCCATCCAGTCACACCAACATTGTATAACCCCCCATTTCGCTTCCTATGCCGTCCCATAAGACCCCCCTACGCTTCGGCACTCGCTCGGATTTTTGTGAGGTTCATCCCAATTCAGACCAAACGCACGCACGCTCGCAGCAACAACAACAACACGCAACATTCAAGACACCAGCCCAGCCAACCAACCAACCAACAAAACCGGCCAAAAGAAAAAATCATTTGCCCATTGCCATCCATATCCGACGCGCCCTGCCCCACCACATGAATGGATTCCATTTCCCAGACTCCAATTGTGCAAAAAGTCCTGAACAAGTCATTGCAGTCAGACGCTTGTGGATACCGGATTCCGGGAAGCTCCTATGCTTCTTCAAAGCGCTGTCGTTCATCCTCTTCGTAGTCCCCGTCCCCTTTGGGGTCGTCCTCCTCCTCGAGCACCTCTATGGCCTCTTCCCCGACCTGGGTGTTGGCCTCTTCCCCGACCTGGGTGTCTCTAACCCCACACGCTGGCCTGGACATTGCCCACCTTGCCCCAGCCGTTGGAACGGGTACCCCAGCCAGAAAGACCAACACTGGGGCCCTCAGTAGTCGCCGAAAAAGGAGCGGCGGAACCGTTGTTGCCAGCCTCATTGTTAGCCGTACCGTTGTAGCTTTGGTTCAACGGGGACGGAAGAGAGGTCGTGGAAACCTTGTGCAAAGCAGGGTTAGTTGCGGTATTGCTGGTCGATGGCCGGGTTCCAATGGGCGCGACGGTGTTTTGTCCGGGCTTGCTACCGGGAGCACCTTGACGCGGCGGTGAGCCTCCAGGAGACGAGGCACTAGTACGGTTCGCCTGGTGACCGATGGGACCGTCGAAGATACCCTTGCCGCCGGACGGGTTCGATTGAGGGCTCGTGTTACTGTTAGCACGCGATCGCTCGTGGGGGCCGGCAGACTGAGTTCCTTGGGCGCCCTCAATCTGGGACTGGGGTGGGAAGCCGGGAGGGGCCTGGTTGTAATCATAGGCCAACGGAGAAGGTCCGCGAAGGTTCTGGCCAGCGGTCAAGCCAAACCGAGGACCGGCGTTCTCTTCACCATAAACGCCGGCATCAGGGAAGCCCTGTTCGCCGTACAAGGCACTGCGCTGCGAGGCGATCAGTTTGCGGCGCTCATCTTCGGACATGCCGCTGCCTGGGCTCAGGGTGCGATCCGGTTTGGCACCGAACTGCGAGGATGAGTCGGCAAGGACGCCTAGATATGTTAGCCAGACTTCGTAAACTGAGAGATGAGGAAAATGTTTTGAGAATGGATGTGAGTGAGCGGCCAGAGTCGACCAGGAGCGCCGATCTGTCGATCTCTACAGACGATATCAGGACACACAGGACAAGGGTTGCGTCGAACCGCACTTGTGGTGGTGCAACAATAGGAGATCAGAATGTGTGTTTTTGTGACCCGCGAAGGCGCCGAATCTAATTTTTATGATTTTTTTGCTCTCTGTCGTTTGGCTGTGATAGGGAAACTGATTTATACAGAAGAGGGCGGCCTACTTCGGTTGTATTGTTGCTCTTGGTGGTAGTTCCTAAGCTCACGCTCCCGCTGGGCAGCCAGTCTCCTCTTGGCCTGCATCATCTGCTCCGCCTCGTTGGAGCCGCGCGAGGGCTGGTGACGTTGGGTAGCATAGAAGGTTTGCAAGTTGGAGGGCTGGTGAGGGCCGCGCGCATCGTTGAAGTCGACCATGGAGTGGGGGCGGGGACCAGGTCCAGCTCCCATACGGCCGCCTGTTACCATTTCACGTTAGTGGGCTGAGGAATTTGGGGTAAGCCCGGCCAGTCCCAGGCAAACTTACCGAAGTCTGGGTAGAATCTGGCTGGGCCGGGAACAGGAAACGACTCACGGCGGCCACCAGGCATCCCAAACATCTTTCCGCTCTTGACGAGGTTGTCGATCGCGCGGTCGACCTCTGCAGATAGTCTCTGTCAGTATGTGTCCTTCTGTTCAAGTACTGTCCCCGTGACAGCAAGTACCATCATCCCACAGTATATGTATATGTAGAGGCATTTTGATGTTCGACGTGGCGGATTGGACAGGGCTCGGCTTGTAGCCAAGCGGGCCGAGGCTTGCCGGAGTATTTACGTACCCTCGAGCTGATAAGCAAAAGCGGTGGGCTCCTCGCGGGGGACGGCAGAGCTAGCACCTGATGATGAAAAGCAGAAGTTAGTCTCCAACGATGGTATGCGAGCACGGCCGGAATATAGGGGACGGGGCCATGGGGAGAAGAGCAGAGACTAACCGGACCGCGCGGGCGGAGGAGGAGGGGTCTGGTGTTCCCAGCCCGAGGCTTGGCCGCCGGCGGGAGGCCATTGGGGTTGAGGAGGCTCGTAGTATCCGGACATGATGTCGGTGGACTCGGTGTGGCTCGAGGACGACGTCGGGCGGATATATATCGGAAGGCCGCAGGAAGAGGATGGCAACCTAGACAGGGGAGACCAGGTCGGTGGGATCTCGGTTTTGGAGTTGACTCTGCGGGATGTCAGTCGGCAATCCAGGAGGCCTTTTTGGGATGAGACCGTCAAGGTGTGGTGTGTTCTCCAGTAGCGGCTGGATAGGTATGGGGACAAGGCGCCAAGCGTTAGGCCCGGACGACCAAGGTGAAGGACGGTGGCGGTTTCCCCGACGCTCAGCACGAGATGGGAAAGGCCGAGGGGTGGTCAAGGTGAAGGGGGCAGGCAAGGCAAGAGGGGATCAAGGTGTGATGATGAATCGGGTGGGTGTAAACACGATGGTAATACAATGCGGTGCAGATGCTTCGAAAGGAGATGGAATTGTCTTTTTCCTTGGTCCCCCAAATCGATTCGGGCGTGGTGGCGCACAGGCAGGCAAGTTGGAGTGACTGGCATCTGAATCTTGGGAAAGAAGAAAAAATGTTTCCCCTGCAACCTGAACATCATCTGCGCTCGTTCTGTTGCGGTGCCAGCCAACGGTGGTGACCGCCCGGTGCCGGCAGAAGAAACGAAGGCTGATTGCGCCTCCCACGTCCCTCGATCGACTTGACTCCCAAGGTTGAATGACACTTCCATCTCGATTGTCGCTCGTGCGGTTTGTGTGCTTGTTTGCAGTGGTGCTTACCTGTCGTTGGCAACCTTATTCCCTCTACTGAATCGACAGACGGGCCAAGGGGTCGGGAGCGGGATGGAAAAGCGATTGGCAGTCGAGATCCAAAACCAGAACAAAACAGGAGGAGAGGAGGGAAAAGTCGCAGTCGCAGCTGGACGCGCAGCTGGCGTTTTTAGAAGAAGAGTGGGCAGCACTGGCAGTACGACCGCTGGTAGCCAGAAGTGGGAAAGTGGAGGGTTGCGACAGAGGAAAAGACCGGGGAGATGGGTCGATCTGCCTGACGTGGTGGTTCTTCGGGCCAGGAGAGGTCAGGTCTGTCAGGGTGTGCAGGTGTGATCCCCTTTTTTTTTCACTCTCATCGTCGACTGGTGGGATAAGTTCTTTCCCTCAGTGACTTCAGCAGTAAACAACAAACCGAAGCGCAAACCGATCGGACATTTCAAGATGAATGAGAATACCATTGTCAAGAGTCTTTTCAGGCTCTATAGAGCCGCCTGTGCCATCCGCTCTCGCACCTTGTTGTTCCGACATTTGCGCTCCGACATCGAAGGTCCAGAGACGCGACGAAATGGCGGGCTCCCCTCATGTAAAATAGGTTGTATTGAGAATACGGGCCCATGCTGCGGCCTTACAGTTTTGCAGGTGCAATGGTGCAGTGGTGCGGCGGTCTACCGTTACCCAATGGTTTGTTACTGTACCATGTTGTATTGTGCACACTAACGTTACCGCCAAGAGGCAGAACTCTAGAGACCCTAAGACATGGGAGGCTGGACCTTTCTTCTTTTCTTCAACAAGGGGGACGGGGCCTTCTCTGGGCCTTGCAGCCGGATGCAATACACGCGGGGGGCCGTCTACAATGCCTAGGTACAGACCAGACCAGGCCAGACCATTTATCCAAGACCGCCGAGGCGGTGGAAAGGTATAGAGTTTATAGGGTTTTGGCAGCCGGCTCGTCAATGACACTGGATAGCAGCGCAATCCAATTTCAAGACTTGAAATACCCGGTGCGACGGCAGACGACGGCCGAGCAAAGAAGCGAAGCTTCCAGCAGGTTGAGACGGGAGTTCTTTGGCGTTGTGCTGACCGCGCATCATGTTGCACCTGTCGGTCCATGTACTTACCAATCTACTATGTAACCTCCACAGGCTGTCAAGCAGCCCAGCCGGGTTCCCAGGGCTAAAAACGCCAACATATCTATCCGGGAATTCGGGAACCTCTTGTCGTGCAGAGCAACCTGGAGCTTTGGATGGACACAGGAGGACACTGGAGCGGCTGTTGAAGATGGAGGTTGGTGATGGAACCACATCCTTGGTGCGGAGGAGCAGGTGGAGTGTTGTTTGGTAATTGGCTTGACTTGACAGCCCTTCTCGCTCCGAATTGCCATCGCAATCGGTGATCTTTGGGTTGGCGAGAACCCTGAGGTTGGAGAAGCCTGCCTTGATCGGCGGGTATACAGCCCGAGAAAATGCGGTTACCAAGGGTGAATCGGGTCGCAAGATGGTCGGTTGGTCGGTTGGGCAAAGTACCGGCTCGGCAGACGACTTTGTCGGCCGAATTGGCACCGACTGACACCACGAGAGGTGAATGCTTGATGTGTGCTGCGAGTTGAGCATGACGTAAATGGTGGACTCTCGAGCAGGTGAAAGAGCAAGAAAAGAAAGAAGGCGTGCAGTGCCTGGTGCAGTGATTCAAGGTCGACGACAAATTGAAAAGGTCCAGGTCGCGAGAGTTGACGGGAACCCAAGACGTGGGTCGCGGGCGGGCCCAAGCTTGCAGAGTGGGTACCATGCATCTGCCGGTACGGAGCCGTACATGGCGCCCCATGTCGACCCAATTTACCCCTGCCGTTCTTTGGCCGTTAGCGGGGTAGGTAGCCGGCGGGAAGCTTCAACTTTTGGACTTCAACTGTCACCAGCATGGACATCACAATTCATCCAAGGCGTCTTTAGCATTTCTGGGTTGTAAGTCATCAAACATGACTTGATCATTTCTTTGAAACCGTCCTGTGAGGTCAAAGAGCAGGCTCACGGAAATATTTCACGCCTACCGGTCCATCACCTGCCTGGAGACGCGATACCTTACCTTAGGTTGAAGGTCTGTGGAGATTGGGCACAGCTGTCACCATGTTGCCGCTTGAAGAGGAAGGCAGAAACGCGTGCATACGCTTGATGCGAACCTCCATACAAATTTGGGGGTTCGAGGTCAGCGATTGGAGAACTCTCCTCCTTTCCACATCACGAGCTGGAATTTCGGTGCCAAATTTCCCTCTGCCTTTGTTGATTTCCATATTCCATGGTTTACTAATCCTTGGTCTACAGCATGCATCAATGACATAGGCTTGCTCTCTCCGGGTATTCGGATTTTTGGCGAACTGGGCCGAGGGCGGTTCGACAGCTTCAAGTTCCATAACCCTTTCTTTCGCCTGGAACATTTCTCGCATATCTGGACTATCATGCCTGGATTCGGGTCTGAGGTTTGGGTCGAGGCAGAACAAGGGTCCAAGACACCAAGACATCCAGACCCCGGAACTCGAAGACCCCGGGAAACCGGCCTTGAAGCTCCAATCAGCCCTCCGCGACCAAAAACACGGTAGGACAAATCGCGTTTTTTATCTTGTATAGAAATACAGACATATCGTGGTTAGTTGAGTTGTCGTCATTCCGCATCTCCTACCGCAAAGACTCGAGCTATCCAGAACCCAGTATTTGCGAAATTTTCCTTTTACGGCTACATACCTAATGCTTCAGGTAGAGTCGACGCGGCAGACTGTACGATCATCTAGAAAATCCACAACTCTGAGGCAGGCACGCTGCTCTGATTGCTTGAAGTCGGTAGATCTGTAACCGAAAAAAGGAACACATCCTGGATTCTGGAGAACTCGAGTCTTTGCGGTACCGAGTAAACTCGTCTAATTCGGTTTTCGTCCTGTGCGCCATCTGGCTGGGTCAAGCACTTTTCACGTACATACTGTAACATGTATGCCTGTCCAGAGCTTTTAACCTTAACCGTTCTGTACAAAGTGGGCGTTGAGCAGGCAGGACTGCACTGAAAATGTACATATCTGTACAGGACGAAAACCGAATTAGACCGAGTTTACTCGGTACCTCGATTGCAGTTATCGGGTTACAACCGTACCGTCTCAGCACACAGTACGAATACCCCGACTCAGAAGACAACATAGGATTATCCTTACGGGCACTGGCGTCCTGGGAATCTTGGGATATACCCTCGGGACGGGAGGTAGGACATGATTCTCAGAATCCGATATCAACCCGCCAACTGGCATTCGACAGCAGGATATCCGAGATAGCCAGTCATGGAGCCACCTGCACGGTGACTTCTCTTACCAGAAGACGACGCTGTTGAGTACCTTGATGGCCAGACCAGTATCGAACAAACAACTCATCAGAGCAGACAGACTTCCTCCCCAACGGGTATTTGAGCAGCACTCTGAGCCAATGAACACGACCATACATCTAGTTAGGTGCCTGAGTCGTTTCATCATACACAAATTGTATCTCTTTTGACATACAGTCTTGACCGGCCATAGGATAAGTGGTCTCAGGCACTGGTGATCTGGTATGAAGCAAGAACGACCCGCCATCAGCAAGTGGGAGAACCTTGATGGCCTTGCACTCCAATGGTCACGAAGGAATTCGACATCAAGTTTCTCGCCGGTTACGATTCTCTCTATTTTTTCCAAACGTCCTTAACACAACCTCGAACTACCTCGGCCATCTATCTCACTGACAACCTATCCAATCTGGCAGTCAACCCCAGATTATTAATTACTCACGTCTTGGCAACCGCCAACAACCTCCCTGCTCCCCAGCTTCGTCTTCTAGAACAAAGTTTAGAACCTTGATCACTCTGCTCTGAGTGGCTCCTCTACGGACAATATCCCGCATACGAGCGGCACATTCACATCACATCACATCTACTTCCCTGCGGCCCTCCCAGAAAAGGGGTGAGGCTGACTGTTACTCCGAGCTGCGCGGCTCAGGCAAAGCTCGGTATCGTTTCCATTTGTCAACTCGAATGTAGTGTGAGCAAGTGACATAGGTATATCTTAGCTGACTAAGTCGAGCACTTCTCCTCCAAAGAATAAGCTCTGCGTTATAATGATGAGCGAAGAAGGGTTGGACATGAATAAGACCAGACACTAGCATCATGGCTCTTGAGACTTTTTGACATATTCGATAATTCAGCTGAAACATTCTTCCGACATTATTCTTTCGACACCTTTGTTTCATTTCATGTTTCTCCCGTCGTCGGTAACGTATAGCTCGTTTCGATATCTTACCATGGATATTGGGGTCGGAACCCCTGTTTCACCCATGGACACCTACTCGTGTGGGCTCGGCCAAGGGGTGTGGCACATTGAATCGCGAATGCAAATGGATTCGCGAAAAAATCTGGGTACATGGTCAACTCTGCAATTTTCTTAGTAAATTAATGTACATCTGTTTTTTTACATACCCAGCATAAGCAATCTGACTTACACGAGTATATAAATCCATCATGAACCCCTCAAAACGCTCAACTCTTCGATCTAGGAACGTTGAGGGGAAGGCATTTTGGTGTTTAATGTAAAACGAGATAATCAGTGTAATGAAGAGCAGGACTCTAGTATACATCTAGATTCTATAGTAGAGTAAAATACCATGCTAGAAAATGCCGATTTTAAGTTGTCGAAATTCCTAATGAGAATATCGACCTAGCTTTGAGGCATTGCAAATTTAATATAAGGATGTTTATTAGTTTGGCGGATATTACATGTATGTATGCAGCAATTCTCAAAAAAATAGAGCGACATGGTTATACCGCTAGTTTGTATAGGCGGGGAAGTACCGAAATTTTCGCGATTCAATTTGCATTCGCGATTCAATGTGCCAGACCCAATGCGCAGCATTGGGTCTGAAGGGCGTTTCTAGCCCGGACGAGTACCCTACGTTACCAAGAGCTAGGGTCCGGCACTTAAACACGACGACGGAAGTTTCGGGGTCCACTAATATTCAAAAAGGTATGTTATAGCAAGGTTAGATCATGAACTCTGTTAGGGGTTCCGTCCGAGAGGTTCTACAAAGCCTTTCTTTCGTCTCTGCCAAGCTTATGAGAAACATCACCTGCACGCGGTGCTGGATTATTTGGATAAAACTAATCCGGTGTCCGTGCCGACGGTATGGGTTGCTCGCCTATTCAGTCCCCACGGGGCTTTTGAAACCTGGTGGCACCAGCTACCTCTATTACTTATCTTCAAGGTTTCTTCCCGAGAAAATTCGCCGTGTAGGAAGGCACTATCGGGATCTGCCCTGAAATAATTCCTCCAAGGAAGGCACTACCAACGTTAGCAACGTGGGGCCTCTTGGGTTAACGTTTGCTCCTTCCAAGATTGCGCTTACCAGGAGATGAACACGTCGAATTCGTTAGTTGCCAGCGAAAAAAAGATGTTGTTTTGGACAAATATATCCATATCTAACTAGTACAAGGGACTACAGTACCTAACATGACATGGGATTATTCCAGTCTACGTTGTTGTTGGCAATTCTTTACAATTATATAGAGCTTAACTTACCGCACCACCCCTTTTATCTTACCGTACCATATTTTAACTTACCGCACCATATTTGCCCCACATGACAGCTAATGACAACTAACATATAAAACCCCATGTTTTATATAGTAAAACCAGCCCGTAAAATATTTCAAACGTTTAATTGTATTGACATAAAAACTTAGCGATTTTTATATACGATATTTCCCGTACAATCGAAGCTACGTTTCTATACAACAATAATACAATATTGCTACACACCCCAAACTGAGTATATAGAACCCCCCCAAATTAATTATACTTAATCGAATAATTAACAATAAAGCGCTCGTACATCGCATTTAATTATACTCAATTACTTATATCTCTATAGTATCTTCGGAATTATTTCGAATTTCCTCTATAGCTAATTTCTATACCGCCATCGCTAATAACCACTCCCCTAATCCGTCCCTAAGCGAATATAACGACCGCGACCACGCCCCCAATTCCTCTCCTACCCTAAACAAAAATCCTATCGAAATTATCGAGGTTAATAAAGCTACCCTAAACGAATACCCAATATAGGCTATTAATCTAAATAATAAACTCTTTTCCATAAACTCTATCTGAAATGTAATAATATAAGCGGCTATCTATAACTTCAAATCTTATTATTATATAAAATTAATTAAATAATATTCCTACTTTATTAATAATACCAATTCCTTTATAACCGTTAATATATAGTATAAATATACTAAGTACTGCAAATACCCCGTACCTATAAAAACTTACCGCCGTTGTCGCAATTCGAAGAAGAATATACAGTATTACTTATTTAAAATCGTTATTAAGCGCATTGGTAACAATTTATTTATAATTATACCTACTAACTTCGAATACTGTAGTCACCCTCCCACTCCTACAATAGCTATTTTCTCTTACTACCGCTTAGTAATTATAAACGAGTAAAATAAATATATTTATAATTTCCTTACGTAGAGAGAACTAGCAATCCGTACCGTAAAGCAATTTATAAAATAGAAATATCTAAATCTCCTATTTATAACGGGTCTACGAGAGTATTACACAGCGAGCAGTCGTGTAAAGTTGAAATGCTATATTTGACAAAGAGGAAAAGGAAGGACTGTACTAGA